GATATCCAAACAGAAGTTCTTGCTCAACAAAGGGCACAAAGGATGGTACAGCAGTCACAAGGACAGCCAGTGGACATGGATAACGCTTCAATTATTGCTACTCTACCTGCTGATTTACGTGAAGAGGTTTGTATCTCTTACCTTTATTTTAATCAAGGTGATTTGGATCTGGAACTGGTTATAATATTTTGAAATATGCTTCTTCTAGGTTCTCCTAACTTCTTCAGAAGCAGTTTTAGCAGCTTTGCCTCCACCTTTGATTGCGGAAGCGCAGATGCTCAGAGACCGAGCAATGAGTCACTATCAAGCTCGTAGTCTTTTTGGAAGCAGCCATAGGCTGAATAATCGAAGGAATGGTGTGGGTTACAATAGGCTGACTGGGATGGACAGGGGGGTTGGAGTCACTATTGGTCAGAGGGGTGTTTCATCTTCTGCAGATGGCTTGAAAATGAAAGAGATCGAAGGAGACCCTCTTGTGGATGCTGATACCTTGAAATCACTAATTAGACTACTACGACTAGCACAAGTAAGAGGCATTCGTGTATTTTCCCTACCTTCTTCTATCAAAGAAAGAAATCATTGATGTTGGTGCTTATTTGCCAACGCCTAATTGACTTTTTCAATGGAGTATCATAAGTATTTGTTTATCGCTTCTTACAATGATGTTATTTTTATTGTATCAGCCGTTGGGGAAAGGACTTCTGCAGAGGCTTCTACTATATCTATGTGCTCACAGTGTTACAAGGGCAAACTTGGTTCAACTTTTATTGGATATGATTAGGCCAGAGATGGAAACATCACCGAGTGAGTTGGCAATGACTAATCCGCAAAGACTTTATGGCTGCCAATCAAATGTTGTTTATGGACGATCCCAGCTATTGAATGGTAGTATTTCCTATCGAAATTCGTTGTTTGCTATTATTGCCAGCTTCCTGAGCATCGTCTGACTTTTTCTGTTCCGAACACAGGTCTTCCTCCTCTGGTGTTCCGTCGGGTGCTTGAGGTTTTGACGTACTTGGCTACGAATCATTCGGCTGTTGCTGACATGTTGTTTTACTTTGATTCGTCACTTCTGTCCCAATTGTCAAGCTCGAAACCCTCTGCATGTGAAGGGAAGGGTAAGGAGAAAGTTGCTCAAGTGACAGACTCCCGGAATCTGGAGATACCTCTGGTTGTCTTCCTAAAACTGCTTAATCGGCCTCAGCTTTTGCAAAGTACATCGCATCTAGCGCTGGTATGTTTAGCATGATTTTTATAACAGTAGCAAATCTTCTCGCTACAATCTCCGGATAGTTGCTTTGGGTATGATTATATCTGTATTCTGTATGTTTCAGGTCATGGGTTTACTGAAGGTAGTTGTCTACACAGCAGCATCCCGAATTAAGGGTTGGTCTCCGTCATCCGGAGTACCTGAGAAATCAGAAAATAAACCAGTCGGCGAAGAAGCTTCAAGTGAAACACGAAAAGATACTGAACCTGAGCTAGTGGATGAAGCTGAGCTATCTGTTGCAAGAAGGAAGAATTGTGCTGATATATATAACATATTCTTGCAATTGCCACAGTCCGATCTCCGCAATCTTTGTATTCTTCTTGGATACGAAGGGTAAGAGACGTTGCTTTCTTTTTTGTGATTTCCTGAGCTTCCTCTTTCTTCTTATATTTATGTATGTATGTAGTAGCATACACAACATAGGTCTTTTCTTATCCTTGGTGTCAATTATATCCCTGAATTGCTTTGTACTGACTCACATGTTCTGATACCTTAATAGGTTGTCAGATAAAATTTACTCGTTAGCGGGAGAAGTGCTAAAAAAGCTGGCTGCCGTAGATGTGGCTCATCGCAAGTTTTTCGCGAAAGAGCTCTCACAATTGGCGAGTGGTTTGAGTGCCTCAACTGTCCGTGTACTGGCAACACTGAGCAATACACAGAAGATGAGCCACAGTACAGGTTCCATGGCAGGTGCTTCAATTCTCCGTGTTTTACAGGTGCTTAGCTCCCTAACTTCCCATATTGATGATGGCAATGCGGGAACCGAAAGGGAAACAGAACAGGAGGAACAAAACATTATGCAGAGACTGAACGTGGCATTAGAGCCCCTGTGGCAGGAACTTAACCTGTGTATCAGCATGACTGAGCTGCAGCTGGATCATACTTCAGCGACAACAACCGTGTCAAACGTAAATCCCGGAGATCATGTCCTAGGCGTCACTCCTCCGTCCCCTCTTTCTCCAGGAACTCAGAAATTCCTACCTCTTATTGAGGCTTTCTTTGTTCTCTCTGAGAAAATTCAAACTCCGTCAATATTACAGCAGGATCATGCGAATGTGACAGCGGGGGAAGTAAAGGAGTCTGCTCATAGTTCATCTTCATCATCTAAAACCAGTGTAGATTCTCAGAAAAAAACTGATGGCTCCGTTACATTTGCAAAGTTTGCGGAGAAGCATAGGCGACTTTTGAATTCATTCGTCAGGCAAAATCCGAGTTTGCTGGAGAAGTCCCTTTCAATGATGCTCAAGGCACCGAGGCTGATTGATTTTGACAACAAGAAAGCTTACTTCAGGTCAAGGATAAGGCACCAGCATGATCATCACATTTCTGGGCCATTGCGTATAAGTGTCCGCCGAGCTTATGTGTTGGAAGATTCGTACAACCAGTTACGTATGCGCTCCCCACAGGATCTGAAAGGACGCCTGAATGTGCAGTTTCAAGGTGAGGAAGGTATTGATGCTGGTGGTCTTACAAGAGAATGGTATCAGTTATTGTCAAGAGTTATATTTGACAAAGGAGCGTTGCTTTTCACTACCGTTGGAAATGATGCCACCTTCCAGCCGAATCCCAATTCTGTTTACCAAACTGAGCATCTATCATACTTCAAATTTGTTGGTCGCATGGTAATATCAGGACCTTGTCATTGCAATGATCCAATTGTTTGTCTTTGGATCTATCTGATGTGTTCGTGATGTCACTGCAGGTAGCGAAGGCGTTGTTTGATGGGCAGCTTTTGGATGTTTATTTCACTCGCTCCTTCTATAAACACATACTTGGTGTGAAGGTGACCTATCATGACATTGAGGCGGTAGATCCTGATTACTACAAGAATTTGAAGTGGCTGTTAGAGGTTTGTGGACCTCTAAGTCTTAATTTACCTTTTATCTGTTAAAAGAGCTCAAATATCGAAGTTACCTATGGGAGACTTATCTTTATGCCCTTTTCCTGTTCATTCAGAATGATGTGAACGACATACTCGACCTTACGTTTAGTATGGACGCAGATGAGGAGAAACACATTCTTTACGAAAAGACTGAGGTTTGTGATAATACATGTTTGTATTTCTGTTCATTTACCCCAAAAGGCCTATCATATTGAATTGATCATTTTATCTTTATTGAAAAGGTGACGGACTATGAGCTTAAACCTGGAGGACGAAACATACGGGTAAACGAAGAAACAAAACATGAATATGTTGACCTTGTGGCCGGGCACATACTTACCAATGCTATTCGGCCTCAAATCAACGCATTCCTCGAAGGCTTTAATGAGCTGATACCTCGTGACCTCGTATCCATTTTCAACGATAAAGAGCTCGAGCTCCTAATCAGTGGATTGCCTGAGATTGATTGTAAGTTGGATCATGTTGTTCAATATTGTTGCATGTGTTTGCTTATGCATCAAGTTATCGTAACACTCTTTTTGTTATTTCGTTTTTTTATTCCTGAAGTTGATGATCTTAAAGCCAATACCGAGTATACCAGCTACACGGCAGGATCCCCGGTTATTCATTGGTTCTGGGAGGTCGTTAAAGCATTTAGCAAAGAAGAAATGGCAAGATTCCTTCAGTTTGTCACAGGAACATCAAAGGTAAACCAAACATAATAGCAGCAGCTTGTGTCCAAGTCACTTGGGAATACATGTCCTAGTTGCCTCTCTTTGTTTTGCCTTACAAGTGGTGTGTTTCTCGTATTCAGGTTCCATTGGAAGGTTTCAAGGCACTGCAAGGCATTTCTGGCCCTCAAAGATTACAAATCCACAAAGCGTATGGAGCTCCGGAGCGGCTCCCGTCAGCTCATACATGGTTCGAAATCATTACAACAGAGTCTTTTTTTAACTCATATAAACGGTTAATTCTTAGCCGTAATTCTCATTTTGGTTACATATGTTTGCCCATTGCAGTTTTAACCAACTAGACCTCCCTGAGTATCAGTCTAAGGAACAACTTCAGGAACGCCTGCTTCTTGCCATTCACGAAGCCAGTGAAGGTTTCGGGTTTGCTTGAACAAAAGCCTTGTCGAGAGCACCCGTGAAAACCCATCCATCCTTCATTCTTTCGACTCCTCTGTACATGTAAGTAAAGCAGATTTAATTAATCTTACATTTGATCAGGTTTTCCAATTTCATTCTTTCGTCGTAATGTTTGCATACAAATCTCACGATTTCTTTGGTTTCGTGGCAGATGTCAAAGATTTTCAGGCAGGATGAGGGGAAGAGCTTTTGTTGCAGAATGAATAGAAGAAACTCGAGAGGCTATTTTTATCTGTCCCATATATTTTAGTATTTAGACTATTAGGGTTTCTGCTTCTCTCTTTAGATTTTGTAAAGCAAAAATCTTTTAAATAGAAGTGTCGTTGCAAACTTCCCAAACATTACTAGTTGCCAGTGGCTAAATAACAATAAGAAAAATTACATAATTTCTTCGAGTACATTGGCTTTCACAAAAACGCAATACAAGTGCAGGCAGATAAAGCTAAGACAACAGATTGAACTGTCACGCTCATTGGCATCTTCCCCTTGTCCTTCCGCAACAACATGCCTTCGTATAATGGCCAGTTTAAGACCACGAGTACTCCTGTTATCACAAACTGCAAACCCATGGTCTGAAAACCGCCGCCGTCTCTAGAAGTCATCATGAGTCTCGTAACCGCTGCGGCGGAGAAGGAAAAGAGATAGAGCATCCCGAGTGTTCCGAGGAGGAGAAACATCGGAGACTCCACTCCAAACTCCATCACCTCTTCCTCGTATCTCTCTCTGCTGCTTCTTCTTCTGCTACTTTCGCTGTGATCACAAACGCAGACTCCGAAACCCCAAGCCTCTTCAGAATCGTGTCTATGAATCCGAAAAGAAACGAGCTTGTTCTTCTGTAAAGCCACATCCTTTGCTCGTTCCACCATCCACGGAACGTTCCTCCGCACCACAAGAACTCTGCTAGGCTATACGCATTAGCTGCGACAGTCACGTACCCAAACGGGACAAACCACAAGCTTGAGACCTGAATTCAATGACCATGGTAAAAGCGGATCTGTTTTTCCAGAGTTTTATACCATAAGCAAAAAACAGAGGAAAGCTGTTATATTACCTACCTTTGGAAACAGAGGAATGCCTATGAATAGACAGAGAGAAGTCAAAACAGAGTAAACCAGCACAGGTACTGAACTTGGTGCCCAAAGGCAAAAGCAACAGTAACCATGTATCAGTCCTAAACCGATCTTGCCTTGGCCATACCAAACCGGACTATACTCTGACAGCAGAACCTGGAAGTCTCCCTCCGACCATCTCCTCTGTTGCACAAGCATTTGATGCAAATTGGTCGGCGCCACCCCGACAAAAGCTTTCTTTTTCGGGTTCAAGTACGCTGATTTCCATCCACGGCACTGAATCGCTAAGCCGGTTATTACATCCTCTACCGGAAAACCGTATTTTACACCCATCTGCCAGGGAAAACAACCAAGACTTACTTGGTTTTGAATGAAATGTTCGGTTCAAGAAATATTCCTAGTAAGTAAAAGTATCAATCACACTGTTTTACCTCTTTTCCCCATTGAGAGTTTTCTTCATAAGTGCAGCTCGCGAGAGCCTTAATCATCTCAGGCTCTGAAATCTCCTCAGATTCATCTTCTTCTTCTTCATCTCCATACTTTCTTCCGCAGATCACATCTCTTCTGTGAAAGCAGCCAGTTCCAATGTATAACGGTCCGCCATATCCATCTAATCCGTTAAACTCCACCTTTTTTTTTTTTAGTTTTACACACCCCAAAACAAACATTAGAATCAGTATTACAATAAAAATCCTGAATCTGTCTTGTGCTTTCTGCGGTCTCTCTGTAGAACTTACATCCACTCCTACTCGCATCATGCTTCCATACAAATCATTCCTCGTAAGGTTCCCAAAACACTGCGGAAACTGCACGAAAGCAATCTCTTTTCCCTCTTTCTCATCAAGGAGGATGCAGAGTGCGTCGCGTGCTGATTTTGAGTTGTTTGAGTACATATCACAGTCCACGTTAAGAATGATTTTCCCACATGTGATCTTTGAAGAAACCCTAATCTGTAAAATAATAAAAACGGTGTCACATGAAGACTTGAAGAGATCAGAATAGCTTGTGAAACAAGAAACCATTACCAATGCGTTCATGGCGCCAGCCTTGTAGTGATGATGATGCTCTGGTCTCTTCTCTCTTGATAGATACACCAACGTTGGTACTGTTACTGTATTCTCTTTTCTTCCGTCTACCAAAATCTGATGGAACCAAATTTATATAAGAAAAAAAAAACCCAGATTCAGTTTTTGGACTGGCTCTAATTACAGAACATAACCAAAATATCTCATTACGTACTTGAAGAATGGTTCCATGGTTTCTGCGAGTATCATCAGAGTGCCACTGCGAGAACCCGTCACCGTACATCAAACGCACCTTCTCGGGTATTCGTCGGAATCTCGCCGCCGTTTCAATCCTCGCCGCCATTTCTCTATACAACCTAGCCACTTCCTCCGCCGCTGCAGAATCAAGACCACTTGCCTTGGAAGACAAGTAAGCAGCCGGAGATCTCGGTTCAACATTGAATCTTTTGCAGAACGGAACCCAAATCTTAGCAAACTCAGATGCCTCCGCGAGAGCATAGAGCGTGAGCTCAGAGCCACCGTCATCTGAGAGATATACGGCGAGTTTCTCCGGTGGGTAATCGAGAGCCGCCACAGACAAGACTGTGTTAACCACCATCAAGGGCGGCTCAATCTCCGGATCCGCCGTGCAAACGAAAACGTCGAGCCTCGGGAGATCGTTTCCGTACCTCCGGGAGAGTCTATCGGTGAAGGTGAATCGCCAAACCGGACTCCACCGGAGAGATTGTACGACTACCCAATACAAACCGAACCAAATCTCCATGATTAACATAACCAACCAGATTAATCGAGCGAAAGCAGTCCGGTTTTCATCAATCTCTACCGGTACGGTCAGTCTGTAGAACCAAATCCAACAGATACAAAAGAAAACCGAGGCTGAGAAAACACGGTACGCTATTACTCTTGCGGTTTTACTCCTGGTGACAAAAAGCGGTTCGCCACCGAGAGCCGGTCTAAACCGGTCGTCTTCTTTTCTCATCTTTTGCTCTCTTGAGTGGGAAGTGGAAAGATAAGAGAGAAGCGTCTCTTGTTCGTTGGTATATGTAGAGAGATTAGTGGAGGCTATAACTTTGGACTATATCAGAAGAAACATTCGCTGACGTCATTGAAGCCGTCAGTAATTATGTTTCTTTCTTCAGGCAAAACATTAAACATGTCAGAAAGCGTCAACAATCAAAGATGAGACTTATCAATAATAATAAAAAGTCAAAAAGGCTTTAATGAGTTGAAACTGATGTTTACTTTAGCAAATGGTTGGTGAAATGATGATGAAGTCAAAGATTAACAAAGTTAAATTTCAACTTCTTATCTCATCTTTGCGAGTGTTGTATCAAAACAAGAATCACCATGAAAAAGCGTATGATACATGACGTTGCAGAGATGTTGGTTTCATAATCGAAGATAAAGGTATCTGCAAAGCTGCAACAATGGTGACTTTGAAGAACACTGAGATATGAATGCACACAGAGTAAGAAGAAGCTTCTGGTGGATGTAAATAGAAATGACTCTGTTTTTTCTTACGAAAACGCAATACAAGTGCAGGCAGATAAAGCTATGACAACAGATTTAACTGTCACGCTCATTGGCATCTTCCCTTTGTCCTTCCGCAACAACATGCCTTCGTACAAAGGCCAGTTTAAGACCACAAGTACTCCTGTTATTACAAACTGCAAACCCATGGTCTGAAAACCTCCACCGTCTATAGAAGTCATCATAAGTCTCGTAACCGCTGCGGCGGAGAAGGAAAAGAGATAGAGCATCCCGAGTGTTCCGAGGAGGAGAAACATCGGAGACTCCACTCCAAACTCCATCACCTCTTTCTCGTATCTCTCTGCTGCTTCTTCTTCTGCTACTTTCGCTGTGATCGCAAATGCAGACTCCGAAACCCCAAGCTTCTTCAGAATCGTGTCTATGAATCCGAAAAGAAACGAGCTTGTTCTTCTGTAAAGCCACATCCTTTGCTCGTTCCACCATCCACGGAACGTTCCTCCGCACCACAAGAACTCTGCTAGGCTATACGCATTAGCTGCGACAGTCACATACCCAAATGGGACAAACCACAAGCTTGAGACCTGTATTCAAAAGACCAGATCAGTTTCCCCCGGGTTTATAACAAAAACAGAGGAAAGCTATTATTATTGCCTACCTTTGGAAACAGAGGAATGCCTTTGAGGAGACAGAGACAAGTCAAAACAGAGTAAACAAGCACTGGTACTGAGCTTGGTGCCCAAAGACAATAGCAACAGTAGCCGAGTATCAATCCTAAACCGATCTTTCCTCGGCCATACCAAACCGGACTATACTCTGACAGCAGAATCTGAAAGTCTCCCTCTGACCATCTCCTCTGCTGCACAAGCATTTGATGCAAATTGGTGGGTGCCACCCCAAGAAAAGCTTCATTTTTGGGGGTCAGGTACGCCGATTTCCATCCACGGCACTGAATAGCTAAGCCGGTAATCACATCCTCTACGGGACAGCCGTATTTCAGACCCATCTGTCATGGAAACAAAACCTGGTTTAATTTCGCTTACAAGAAACATTCCTAGCAAGTAAAAGTATTAATCACACTGTTTTACCTCTTTTCCCCATTGAGATTTTTCTTCGTAAGTGCAGCTCGCGAGAGCCTTAATGATCTCAGGCTCTGAAATCTCCTCAGATTCATCTTCTTCTTCTTCTTCATCTCCATACTTTCTTCCGCAGATCACATCTCTTCTGTGAAAGCAGCCAGTTCCAATGTATAATGGTCCGCCATTTCCATCCAACCCATTAAACTCCACCTTTTTTTTTTAGTTCACACATCCCAAAACACAAAGGTTAGTATACAGCAGAATCTATCTTGTGTTTTCTGCAGTCTCTCTCTCTCTCTCTCTCTCTCTCTCTCTCTATAACTTACATGAGATATAACTCGCATCAAGCTTCCATACAAATCATTCCTAGTAAGGTTCTCATAACACTGCGGAAACTGCACGAAAGCAATTTCTTTTCCCTCTTTCTCATCAAGAAGGATGCAGAGCGCGTCGCGTGCTGATTTTGAGTTGTTTGAGTACATATCACAGTCCAAGTTAAGAATGATTTTCCCACAGGTGATCTTTGAAGACACCCTTATCTGTTAGATAAACAACCCTATCAAATGAATCAAAGCAGTGTTCTATTGGAGAATCATAATGCCTTGTTGGGCAAGAAACCATTACCAGTGCGTTCATGGATCCAGCCTTGAAGTGATGATGATGTTGAGGTCTCTTCTCTCTAGATAGATACACCAACGTTGGTAATGCAACTGTATTCTCTTCTCTTCCGTCTACCAAAATCTAATGAAACCAATAGACTCAGATTCCGTTTCTCGATTGCTGCAATTACTGAACATTAACTAAAATCCCATTACTCTTACTTGAAGAATGGTTCCATGGTTTCTGTGAGTAGCGTCAGAATCCCACTGCGAAAACCCATCACCGTACTTCAACTGCGCCTCCTCGGGAACTCGCCGCAGTTTCGTCGCGGTTTCAATCCTCGTCGCCATTTCTCTATACAAGTCAGCCACCTCCTCCGCCGCAGCAGAAGCAAGACCATTTGCCTTGGAAGACAAGTAAGCCGCCGGAGATCTCGGCTCAACGTTGAATCTCTTACAGAACGGAACCCAAATTTTAGCAAACTCAGCTGCCTCCGTGAGAGCATAGAACGTGAGCTCAGAGCCACCATCATCCGAGAGATACACGGCGAGTTTCTCCGGTGGATAATCGAGAGCCGCCACGGACAAGACTGTGTTGACCACCATCAACGGCGGCTCAATCACCGGATCCGCCGTGCAAACGAAAACGTCGAACCTCGGGAGGTCGTCTCCGTATCTCCGGGAGAGTCTATCGGTGAAGGTGAATCGCCGAACCGGATTCCACCGGAGAGATTGTACGATTAGCCAATACAAACCGAACCAAACCTCCAAAACTGACATAGCCAACCAGATGAATCGAACGAAACCGGTCCGGTTGTCATCAACCTCCAACTGTACGCTCACTCTGTAGAACCAAATCCAACAGATACAACCGAAAACCGAGGCAGCGAAAACCCGGAACGCAATCACTCCTCCGGTTCTCCTCCCGGTCACCAAAAGCGGTTCACGATCGCCTTCGTCTTCTTTTCCCATGTTTTATTTTTTTCCTTTGTGAGGCGGCGCTAAAGTGGGAAGGACAAGAGAAAAACGTCTCTCCCTCTCGTAGGTTAAGTAGAGATTAGTGGAGGCTGTAACTTTGGACATTGTCAAAAGAAATGTGAATCTCGAGGCCATTCCTGACGTCATTGGAACCGTCAGCAACTACTGTATGTTTCTTTTTCAGACATATGATGACAGGTGACGTCAAGGATCAAAGACTTAGACTTCATTTGATCTTATCAACAAAAGACTGCTGCACTAACAGATGCAAAGAGACCTCTGCATCTGTCTTATGTGAACACCTGTGTTAAAATTTGGAAATTACGAAGAATACAGAGCAAGAAGAAGCTTCTCTATTCGCAAATGAATGTAAACAGAAATGAGTTCCATATATATATATTAGATGATCATAAGATCCATTTCGAGGAAATCGCGTTTCTCTTTCTTTTTTTTTTCAAACAAAAGCTGCATCTAGCTGATGCAAGCAAATCTAGCAGTAATACATTCTCGAGATGGTAAACAAGTAAAGGTGATTCTTATCTTAAATACTGCTCATAAACCTGAAACTTACAACCAGAGAAAAATTCCGGTTTTTGTTCATCTTTATCGGGCAACTCGTGTTATAAGGCGGCACAGCTGAGAAATCAGACCTTGTGCTCATTGCCAAGCTTCTGGAACTCAGTTTCCAAGGTATCGAAAATCTTGGTGCCTTCGGTGTCTGGCTCAGGGAACCTAACGTGGACCGAACCATGTCTGATCGGTGCGCTCGACCCTTTGGCAAGAGCCTGTTGCTTGACATAATTGTAAAGCTCTTGGTGGAAAGAGTGATCCAAAGAGAAACAATTGTCTACTGTTCCATTTGAGATATGCCTACCAGATCCAGACCCTTCTCTTCTACAGAAATGTGGCAGAGACTCATAGTCCATTATCTGCATTCAGGTTTTTTTTAAAACAAAAAATTCAATCTTCTTGCACACAAGAGTTACACTTATCGCAATGAGCTTGTCAATTGCTTACCTTTAGCAACTCATCTTTCCCGCAGCCTTTCAGAACTTGAATCTTCTTCTTTGTCCTCTCTTGCAACAGAGGCTTTATGGTTTTCCAACACGCAGAAAATATGTAGGGGACATTGACAATATAATATGTCTCCGTCTTCTCTGGGTAGTTTAAATCGTCAATTGTGGTTATAGCAGTCATTAACTGCGCAAAGAAACACAAAACACCATGTGATGAAAAAAAGAAACGAATGAAAGTCATATATATATAAATCACAAGTGAATGAAATTACTAATTAGTATTGTTACCTTAATTTGACTTAAAGCTGAAAGCTTCAAACCAGACATATCCAAAATTTTCAAACAAGTGCAAATTGGTCGTCCCTGTTTCTTTGAAGCAGATGGCTATAGAAAAAAAGAATATTATACAATTAATATCATGAAAACAATACAAAAAAGAAAAGAAACAAGCATATGTATAGTAGAGAAGAAGAAGGAGGACCAAATAGAGTGTTTGGTCTTACCAATACTACACGATCTCGGTACTCATTCATTTGAATGTGAGACTGTACATAGTAGTGAACCTGAGTGAAGGGATGATAAGAGTTTCAACTTCATATCAAGTCTTTGAGTGAGAAGATGAGGGAGAGACTAAAATGAAATAGAGATGCTTACGGAGGCTTTGTCATATGTGCTAAGCCCCACACCAATGGCAATGACAGGGAGACCCTAAAAAAAAGGTTCATGATTTAACATAAACTTAGTTTGTTGACCCAAACATGCAAGATAGAAACCAAGTAATGGTACCTCTTTTGAATAACCAGAGACACCGACAAGCTGAGAGTCTCTGATTGCTCTGTACAGGTCAACAGGAACGATGGGTTTCTGCAACAAAAAAGACATAAAATTAGCGGATGAGACCAAAGGGTCACAGAAAAACAAAAGGCAGAGAACCCACTGTTAGTATCTTGTCAATCTCGTTCTGAGTCCTCCACTCTAAACAATCGAGCATCTGTAGCACTTGCAGTCATTAGTATAATAAAAAAGAAACAAACGAAGCATCAAAGACAGTAAGTTGGTGAAACAGCAATCAGATTCAAACCATTTTATGAGCTTTCTGGACATTCCAATCTCTCGCTTTAAGAAAGCGCAGCAAAGCCTCTGTCGGATACCCTTGATGAATGTTCTGCAGCATTTGTAAAAATCCACCCTTTTTTTTTAGTAATCAATTGTCTTTTTCTCAAGCTAGAAGAAGAGACAAGATTCAAGTCAAAACTCCAGATCAGTCAATGTTGTGACTACAGCTCCACAGATCCAGCAACATTGAATCAAAACGGATCTTTTCAATAACCAAAATGCAACAACTTAGAGTCTCATTCATATATAGATCCACCAGATCAATGCCGATCATAAGACGAGATTGGTTCCAATTGACCCAGAAATTATACAAAAAAGGAGGGTTTTTTCGTTTATTTCGGTTTATAAAAAAAAAATAATCCCCAAAATACCAAAATCGGAAGTAGCAATCTTCGGTTCAATAAGCAAAGAAGTTGGAGTTGAATGATTCTAAGCATCTAAAGAAAGAAAGAGAAAGCAAAGTAATAATAATCACTAACCCGATACGACTCTCTCAGTGATTCATCAACTGTCAATAACAGAAGAAGAAACTAAAATTAGCTTACAAAAATCTCAGATTTCGTCGGCGATCTTCGAACAAAGCAAGCTTGAAGCATGAAAAACCCAAAGAGAGATGTAGAAAGAAAAAAGAAGCCATGAACACACACCATCCTCCATTAAAGTACGTAATTGCTTGGTTGCTTCCTCAACAGCGACGCCCATTTTCACTGTCTCTATCGGTAGAGAGATCTCAGCTCAGATGTGAAGAAAACAAAAAAAGAAAGCTGGAGCTCTGGGCAAAAGTTTCTGCGCGAAATCTAAAGAGGGTAAATCTCTGATCTTACGGACAATAGTTCCTCCGAGAGGAAGTGAGAGAAATTAAAAAAAAAGGTGCACTTTTTATTTTATTTTTATGGAGCGACGAAGAACTTTTTAGAGAGAGAAACTCTCTTAGCTAAAGTTCTCTCTTCTTTTAAGCATTCTGCTTCAATCTTGTAGTAATAAAGAAGAGAAAGAGATTATTTTTTTGGATCTAAACATATTCCAATTTCGAGCATGCTTAAATTTCGAAAACAAAAATAATATATGCTCTCCCATGAACTTATTAGGAAATCTCCACTCAAATCCACCACCATCCAAGAAAAGTCAAGCGAGAATCTAAATTTAGTAGTAGTAATAGTTTCACTTTATTTTCCTCAAATCTTTACTTATTTTCTTCGTAGTTTCTTTGATTATTTGATTCCAGTAAATCTTCTTCCCGGAAAATAATCGGCGGTGGAATCGTATTCTTTCGAATTTGATTGCTGATACGTACGCACTATTAATGTAAATCAATTTATAATCGTGTGTATATGACCATAATTAATAATCGTGTGTCTGTCATCTCATCTTCTTTCGATAGAGAAAATATTTTTTAAAAATATATAGTTGGCTTGAGAATGCAACATAAAGAGAATAAGATGCGTGCACCAAACAATGTTTTCATCACTCATTTATTAACAAAAATAAAAGTTAGTGAGATTTAAAATAAAATATATATAAAGAAACATAAATGTCCATCGTCATGTGTTAGTTCTCCTCATTCACTCACAAAAATTAAGACCCCCCCATATGACACACATGCATCGTGAACCCATCATCCTTACTTTTTCTCTCTTTGTTTTATTTTTTTTGTCGGTTTTCTACTTATTTCAAATATAATATTACATATTTTGAGATACTCTTACACAAACATATTCCCATATTCCATTTTTTTTTTTGTTTCTTTCTAAATGATTCTAAGATTGGACCTAACATTTGGCATACGGAAAATCTCTTACCGTTCAGAAAAAAGATAATATTCTCCAACATGTTTCTATTGAATTTTAAACCCTGAAAATAAAAGATTAAACTCCTTCTAGATGCAAAGTGGTTAATTACTCAATATATAAACAGAAGAAGTATAGTTTGTTTTTCTTTTTCTTTGTGCATGCAATGCTTGAATTCACCAGTACTGAGCTTTCACCAGTAGTCTAAACCCGTAGTGCATGAATGATAAGTACTTAAACCATTACATCTATCGTCCTTACTTGGCTTGTAATGGCTATCAATAGTATTGTCAACAATGTGAAAAAAAAGCAAGGGACTCTTCTCTTGAAATCAGCCATGAAATAGACAATGATGATGAAGAATGTTGGGTAATTAACATGTGCCACCATATCACATTGTGTAATACACATCAGCTTCTCTTTCTTTCACTAGAGAGGTTTTCTCAAAGGGGAACAATACACTGCTCCAAACATTGACGATGATGTCCAAAAGATGCAGATGTAAAACATCAAACCCACTTGCAAATGTTAGATCAAGCTATCTAGTAACACTTATATATATAGGAATGTTTCTTGCTTTTTATGTACTAATACTAAAGTTTTGGTTTTTATATACTTACTTGGTCTCTGAGGTGTGCTTCTGTGTCTATCTTTGATTTCCACCAGAGAAGACCCAACAAGACAGCGACTCCAAGTGCTTAGCTTGTCAAAGTAATGTCTGCGCCTCTCTCTGTACGTTCTTCTGAAAATGATAAAGAACTGATCCCACCATGAAAGTGTCCACTCTTGCTTCACTTAAATCGCCATTTGAAGATCTTCTGCTGCTTTTCTCTTTCTATGATTCTCTTCCTTCTCTCTCGGCTCCAGCACAGTCCTATACTTCAGTTCTAGAAACTGTACGTAGAACATAACAACATAGGACCCATCAGTTGATTAAGAGTGATTTGATCCTTACTCTCAATATCACTTCCTCAGAACCAGGATGGTCGGTTTGAGCAGCCGATAATTCGTCTGGTAGACTGATATCTGCCACTTGTCCGGCTGCTAAATCCAGCAAGAACTCAGCAGGATTTATTGCAATTTCAGGTAAGATTCTCAAAGATGAGAAGTAATCCATAGATTCTCTAGCTATTCCGTAGAACACAGGGCATCCTCCTGAGATCAATAGAAGCTTATCAAACATGTGAAACATCCTGCTTGATGGTTGGTGAATCGTCCGATACTGTTATAGAAGTGAAGCAGCATGGTTTGTTTGGTACACCACAAGCTTTGAGTGTGGCATTAGCAGAAATTATTTTCCCCAAAACAAGCTAGTAATTTGTTATTTATCGCTTCACTAGCGACTTCGCGTTAAAACGGTGTCGCATAATCGATAGTTGACCGAGACAGTATCCTTGTTCTCTGCTTCCGTTATTCAACAGAAGAACGCTGAGGAGAAGGAATGATGGAGGAATCGCGGGATTTATTGATGTCGACGTTGATGGAATCTGGGGTTTTGATTCCCGGAGATTTCTCTTCCGTCGGTGAATTTTCTTCGGAGGCTTTGGTATCGATCTGTGCTCAGTTGCTTAACCTCATTGACCCATCGGCGTCCTTCTGCGATGAACTACCTGATTCTCTCCCCGAAAGGTTTAAGATCTGCACCGACATCGCTCTGTCTGTGAAGAACCTAGGCTACGTAGGCGACATGAGTTATTATAAGGTACCGTGAATGTGATCCCTCTTTAGTTCGCAAGCAGAATGGTCGCAGAATCTAAGAGTTGAATTGATAACTTATTGAGCCCTAATCTGTGAGTGTTGAATCATATACTTTTGCAGTAATTAGGCGCATCGTCCTCTTTAATTAAAGGAAACAACTTTAGGTTTTAATGTTTCTAAAGGAACATGCTTTTACAGTGGAGATTGATTGCAAGGGAGTTTGTAGATTAGTGACAAACTAGCATCCATTCGTCTTTCAAAATGTGAAATATCAGTGAGGCATTGTTCTCAGTTTTTTCTTTGTAATTTTGATTCTGCAATATCACGAAATCGGCGGTGCTGTGAGATGGTTCTCGAGAGCTGTGATAGTCCTTTGGTCTTCCTTAGAATTTTGTGAAGTTTACTTTCATTTCTGCTGTGTGGCTTTTCTTATTTGTTTGAAATCATGCTGAAACAGATTCTATGTGTTGCTTGCGGCAGTTTCTGCATCCATCTGAAGAGGACTCGTTTAGGTTGGTTAGATTCTTGGTTGGGAGGCTCTCGGAAAAAAATGAAGGACTAAAAACTTCTCCGTCTGGTGATGTAGTAGCAAGCAGGCCAAAGGTCGAAAATTTCAGAGATATTTCAGATGACAGAATGGTGAAGGAGGACAATCGTGAGACTTTTGATATGCATATACAGCAGGTTGAAGCTGTCCTAAAAGATCTTACAACGACTACTGAGATCTCTCATGCAAAAAGTGCTTCATCCAATGGTTCTTCCATTGTTGACCTCTCCTCCTTAAAAACAGATGACCCTGTTACTGATGAACCATCAGATCTTTCATTGAAACAGTCATCTGGAAATGAAGAAAATTCCTCTGATGACCCATCTGAGGTACTGCTTATTGTGGCCCTATCTCCTTTTTTTCTGTACATGGCCGTACATTCATGGGAGTGCTGATGTCAAACCAGTTTTGTGAATGTTGAAAAGGCTTAACCTTTATCATTTTTAATCCTTTGTAGAAAAATTATGAAACTGTTGAGTTACAGAATCAACATAATTTACTCTTGGAGGAACTAGAATCTGGATCTTCAGAGCTATGCAGTCTTGACAGTGAGCTGAAGCTGTTGAAGATGGCTGCGGAGAGATTATTGAATAGCAAACAGACGGGTGGGTCATATCTCGAACAGCTTAATCAACAACTAGTTGTCAAAAGGTGTAATATCACGGATCTTAAAAAGCAATGGTATGAACAGTATTCTATCCTTGCATTCAGTTTCATGGACAACCACATGATATGATAACCTGAAATGTATATATGTACAATCCATGGTTACATGAAATAGATATAAGATATCAGGGGAGCATTAAGTTACGTAGTACATATCTTGTCTTCCTTCAGGGACGATGTAAGGCTCACTTTGGAAACTAAAAGGCTACGCCTTTTGGACCAACTTCATGTGGAGAAGCCAGAGGCTAAAGAGAAAGTCCATAAGTTGAGAAAGACTGAACTGGAGCTACATTCTCTCTCATCAGAAATTCAAATGAGGTAACCAGAATAGCACTCCTACTACATGGCCCTTCACAGTCGTATCATATTGTCTGTGTGTCACCTTGATCAGGGTATTCCCTTCACACTCGTATCATATTAATGTGTAAACTCTTTTTTAACAACAGGGAAGATGAACGATGTAACCTATACACTCAACTTGAGAGGCAGCCAAAAGCAGCGCCGCGGAAGTCTTATATCCATGGGATTAAAGAAATAACTAAAAATAGCCGTAAACTGGACAGTGATATTCAGAAAATTTCAGGGGAGACGAGGGAGCTACAGTTAGAAAGCAACTCAATCCAAGAACGCCTGCACCGATCATATGGTTTTGTGGATGATATGGTTACAAGGTATGAGTTCTTCGTCTCACATGTTTGCATTTTCTGGTCAGGGATATACACCATAAGAAAAGGTGTCATGTCGGTCTGCTTTAGAGAACATGGTATATCCAGTTATACTGAGCTGATGAGGATTGATTCTCTTTTTCTGGGCAGGGAAGTGAAAAAGGATCCAGCCGTACGACAGGTCTACAAGCTAGTGACCAGCGTCCACGGTATTTTTGAGCAAATCTCCGCAAAAATTCTCATGACTGATCGGCTAAGAAGAGAAGCAGTCGACTATGAGAAGAAGCTGGGATCCATCACAGCTCGAGGCATGAGTCTGGAGAAATTACAAGCAGATCTCGATGCCATCAGGAAAGAGAACGAAAGTCTTGAGAAATAACTAATCCCAATGTGGTTGAGGAATTACTAAAAGACATTCATTTTGTAGAGTTAAAGAATGTGCATGCAGGTTTTAGGGCAGTGTCTGTTAACAGAAAGATGAATCTTTTTCTCCAATACTAAAGAAAGCAAAAGCTGATTCAGGTAAGCCATATCTGATATACGTTTGTAAAAGCTTGGGAATACAGACAAGAGGCATCATCAGAAAACCATTCCATAGGGATCTTCTTCCCAAACATTCTTTATGTATTTTGTCTAATCTCACAACAAAAAATTAGGCAAAAAGGTTGCTACTTTTAAAGCACATCTTCTTCCCTCTTGTAATTTGCCAACCTAATTTTCCTCTGGGGATGATGTTTCCTAAGTATTTACACCCAAAAATCCACACTTCAACACCTCTTTTACTCGTTTGATGTGCATCTTTCTTCTTGGCTTAATGGTTGTTGTCCCAATTCGTCAAGGCAGCTTGAGGTTGCTGATAAGCGATGTGCGGGTGTCCTGTTGGTTCAGCCATAGCCCTTGTGGACTGTGGCGGTGGTGGCAAGGTCTGATATGTAGCTGAAGCAGCAGTCATGGGCTGTGATGGATGGTGCATTCCAATGATCCCACTATGACCAGCCTGCACGACTGGGAAACCAAGTGGCTGACCTTGCAGGGCTAGATTATACATTGGATTCACCTGCAGGTTGCCAAGTCCCTGCCCAATCCACGCAGCTGCACTTTCAGTCTGACACAAATATTATGATGACCAATGTTAATACTCTCAACAACTATATCAATGCAAGGATAGAACAGAAACAAAAAAAAGACTGACCATTGGTGAAGTCCTCTCTTCAGTATGATTAGAGTTTAAGGTGGTTGCAGATGGGATGTGAGTATCAACTGTTAAAGAAGCATGTGGGGATGGGTTTGTGGTAGGAGGGTTCTCAGTGTCGTCTACTGGTGTTATATGGGTAGGTGCTGCTAGAGCAGCTCCTGGTGGAAAATAAGACTGCTGAGGGATCCCATTTGGGCTCAAGAACTGGTGAATGTATGGTGATGGCATATAAAACGGTGGGTAATAGGGACTATAAGGGAAGAAATTGGGTGGGTATTGTTGCCTAAAAAGCTGAGTTGCCTGCTGAGAGGCTGCTGCTATGGAGCCCTGATCTGGTGGATATGATACTAATGATATAGCTGGAGCATTAGAATTTCCAGGCTGCAATTTTAGGAAGCACTTATCAGAAAATCTAAAACAGATTAAGAAAAAGTTATTGTTCTCGGTGCATATATATTTTGACAAGATATACCACATGCCTGAGTCTCTGCCCGTTCCATGTTTACGGGTTGGCCTAATGCTGTCATTGAGGGGACAAGGCCAAACACAGTAAACGGGGCTTCTCGGCCATAAGCGATTTGATGAGTTTGTGTGTTGGATAAAGCTTGCTCCAGTTCACCTTCTACAGGTGGGACAATGGGATCTGAGTTCCGCACTAGCTCAGCTCCAGGTGCTGAATTTGAAATCCCATCTTCAAAATAAGAGAATGCTCCTTCTCTGCACAAGATGTTATGGTTAAGAGATACAATCATGAAATTTAAAAGCTGAAAGGACAAGCCAACAAAGACAGAATCTACACATAATTATATCATTCACAAGGAAAAGCCTTCCTATTTGCAAAACTGAACTTGAAAATCATCTGTGCAGTCTCATTCAACTGGGACTGGGAACAGTGTGTCGGAATAGAGATTGCAGTAGATGAATAACTAAAGCAGAGAAAATATATAGTCACAAACCTAGGAGAACCGACCCCGGGAATACCATTGGTAGCGGGAGAAGAATCTCCCTCATCATCCCCTGTCCCGTGAGAAGACTCAAAATTTGAGTCGTCGCCGCCACTAGCACCATTGTTAGAAGATGCCTCTCTCAGAAGACTAGAATCAAAACTGCCAAACGTCAGACCATTCTGCAGCACTTCGGCAACCTGAAGGTGGAACGGAAACGTTACGTGCGACCGTTCACCAACATCTGACTTGAGAAGCAATTGACCTTTGCTTTTGTTGGATGCAGGCTCATTTTTGGTGACTGTTACAAAAAGAAACCAGAGGCTGAATCAAATAACAGACCATATTTGCTGCACCATTACTGACTTAAAAGCTACTCTGACGAATACTTGTAGGCAAACTAAAACTTCATAAACAAAAGGCTGACATACCTTGATCTGACTGAGTAGTGCAATGAGAAGCAGAGATCAAAGAAGGATCCTGTCGACTGAATGTAGATGATTGCAACTCTGCTGGTTGGCTGTTCACAAGAGGCTCTGAGACTTGAGCAGAAGTTACATCTTGTATATGGTTTTGTACAATGGGAACGGACACAGGCGCAGCAACTGGTTCTGAAATTGCTTTAGACATATGTGGTTCAACACCATCCTCGGAGGAAGAAGAAGACTTGGAAAGAGGATTTTTCTCTGCATGTCCCTTGTTCACAGTAACAGTACAATCATCTTGAAGTTTATGATTGTTTACCCCACTCGGAAGACTGGTAGGAGCAGAAACCCTGCAAAAGGTAATCCTTTAAACTTGAATAGCTTTATAACTGAACAGAAACGTAGAGAGACAGATGTAAGAAAAATACTTTATTGCATGCGGTACTGTGAGGTCTCTTGCTTTGTTAGTGGCAGGAATAGACGTTCTAGAAGCTCCTGTTACACGATTAGCTCTACTTCCCCTTTTAAAATTTCTTCCATTGCGTGCATCTGAATGTCAACAAATAGCTTAAAACAGAGCAGAGAAGTACAATTCTCATTCAAAGGCATCAATAAAAGAAAACAAACTATACGTACCATGATAAGTGTTACTGGAGGCAGAGTTCCTCCGACCACTTCTGCCACTTTCTTGGGTAATTGGCACTATATTCTGCAGACAGTAATCATGTGAGATCATGAAAGCTACAACAGCAAGCGATGCACACAGGCATACGGGTCAAAAAGTGAATTGAAAAAGCATGCACCTTGATAAATCTATAGAAAAAAACCAACGAAACAAAACAGCAAATAAGGTATTCATAACGAAAAGAACACTTGCCTCCTTCTTTTTCTCCCTTTTACTCTTCACTTCATGAAATGTATCTGTACCATATTGCAAAATTTACAATGTACAGTGAGATACAATACAAGAATTAAAAGTTCCAAAGTTAGAAAAACAACAATTTTGAAAGACGGTGCATTGTCTTGACCATCGATGACCAGGAGAGAGATAATCTATAGTAAATAACTCAGATGCCCACTAGAATCCTTAAACGGTACAAACTCGCTTCAAAAGTCAAAGAAAAAGAATATCTTTTGATGATTCTATAGTAACTTCCATCTAAATGGTAAGGATTCCGCGGAGTAAAGCGAGTTTTAGACACACACACACACAAACTGGATTCCATATTCGAATAATTCGAGGCGCCAAGGGGAAACTCATAAGAGTTGCGAGACAGAGACACATCACATGATCTTCCAAAAAAAAAGAATCAATAAACCCTATCGTGCAGCCGAAATCGACGATGAAATGCATGGAAGAAGAAACATAACCCCTAAATGGAGAGAAGAATTGAAGAGTAGTACCGAGAAATCGGAGCTTCTGGGCGGTCTCGTAAGGATCATTGAAGGATTCCTTATACACGGCGAAGATGTCTTCGTCCGAGTGCTGCTTTCCCGTAATCTCTCTGATGCTCTGAAGGGTTTTGCGGAGATGGTGAGGAATCGAAACCCTAGAGGAGCCGCCATCGGCGAAGCTGTTCATGGTTCTGTAAGAGGGAAAGAGAAGCGGGAGGAGAGAGAAAAAAAACCAAAATTAAAATTGAAATTGAGATTCAGAGAGAGAGAGAGAGAGACTTCCCCTTGAAAATACAGAGACAGTCCTTTTGTACTTAATTTATTACTATGCCCACTCTTCCTCCCAATGTCGGTAACTTTATACGCTGACGTCACTTGACAACACACCCTCACTCGCTTCTATCTCACGCGCCTTCTATTTATTAACTTTTTTTTTTTTACTGAAAGTGATTTATGTGGTTTAATATTGTACAGTTTTAATTACATTTTTAATTTTACATTCAGTTCTCTGCATGGAAGAAGCAACAAGATCGCTTAACATTTTCTCCCTAAAAAGAATTACCCCAAAAAAAAAAAATAGTGAAGCTGCAGCAAGAATTTCACCATCATCCAAGTCTATTGCTCGCCCTGGAAAGTAGCGGTAAAAACTTGACGAGTCTTGTCTTCGCACAGCTCATCAACTTGTGAGAGTCAAGGTACTCCATGGTGACTCTACTGTACCAGCACAAAGGGCAGTGAAAGCTCCCGTCTTCGTCAATGTTAACCGGACAATTCAAGCATTCTCTGTGGACTTTTGCTGCACACTCGCTTCTGCTACATACCAACAACAACCTTCCTTCTTTCTCACATTTCCAGCATACATTCTCGGCTCTTGAAGGAATGTTCTGCGGCGGACCTTTGACCATATCTTCTGACTCATCATCGCTCCCACTGATTAACCAGGTTCCATCTTTTGTACATTTTACACGTGCATCCTCTGCCCTTCTCCTTCTCCTTCTTCTTTCATTAGTGATACTGATGTGAATGGGTTCACCATCTATCACATCTTTCTCATTGGTCTGCATTTGATCGTCCTCATCGTTGATGACAGTTACTTCATCCCTGTCGTTTATATTCGTTTGCTCTGCACCAATATACACTTGCTGCTGCTCATCTATCACATTTACTTCATCTTTCTCATTGGTCTGCATTCGATCGTCCTCATCTCTAAAAACAGGGTCATTTTCTTCCGTGGGAGGAGCTGCTGTTGTTTCATTCTCCATTAAACTCACATCTCTCAGCTACAAGAGATCCAAACGAAAAGAGAAATCAAGCATCCTTATTTTCAATTACTTGATTTAAGCACATATCTCTGCAAAAGAGAAAAGCATGAAACAAAGGAAAGGAGAGGTAATGAGGAAATAATACCTTCTCCAGTGCACATTGTGGCAAGGACATGTTCTTGTGAGCAATAAATGGAACAAGATTGAACTTTGATAGCTCCGGCATGCCCCGTCGTAGCTCTGTTACTGGAATCTTAACATCGGAGAAGGAGAAAACTAATATTAGAAACTCATACATTCCTCTAGTTCTACTACTAGTTGCAGTATCAAGTTATTGAACGGTCTGCTCATACATCTTTACAGATGGCATTGAGAACATCTGTGTTGCTCAAGGACAAATCAAACTCAACTCTTGACTCATCAACACCGACCCCAGTAGCATCATTCTTGCTTGGACCAAACATAAACTCCAAGACTCTCAGAGACAGGACTTCACTGATCCTCCTCCCGTAGTCATTTGTGCAGGGATAGCCCATGTTCATCAAATCTGAATCAAAAGGGATCTTCTGTTAACGACCTGGTTTTAAGTTTCCACATACACATACACACACGCACACAAAAGACTATTGAGTTACCGAGTATGCAGCGTAGATCCTTAACGAATTTGGCGACATATTCGATACACCAAAACCATTCAGCAATTTGAGGGGGCAGAGAGGAATATTCATCCATCAGATCCTCAAGGCTCAAATCAGAAGCTCCTTCACTCTCTTTCTTCTCCTCCTTCTTCTTCTTCTTCTTTCTTCCGTCCTCTTTCCATTTCCCACCGCCCCATTCGTACGACGGGTCAATCCACGGCGGCAGCACCCTGCCTCCTCTGCTTGAACCTCTTTCCGTTTCGACTTCTTGGGGAAAAACCCAATCGCCCAAAATCTGTGTACTCTCTGTGTCCAAATGGTTCTCCTCCATCCGGAAAAACAAAAAAGAAGAATGCTTTACAATTTAGAGACGCGTTAATATAGAATCAAGAAACCCTAAAACGGCTACCTTTAAAACCCTGACCCAATTCCAAGTGTTCACCATTACAAATCAGCAAGTTTTCAGATTCAAAACAAAAGACGAGAGACAGCATTTAGTCACCAATATCTGTTAATTCGCAGATTTCCCGCCTCGAATTCAAACTCGATCGTCTTCAGACATCATGTAGAGCCGATTACGCCGAACAGAGCCTTCCTCGTTTGATCCACACCGATGATATCTCAACCGTCAAAATTATATTTTTATTAAAAGGCATATTAACTAAAAGCTGACGTCATAATTATTTGGGTCTGGGCTGGTAATATGAGCCCATTTACAAAGAGAAAGAGGCTACGATTCTGCTGCCTTCACATCTACGCTACATGTACATTCAGACGATGCAGAGGGAATACATTTTAACTGTTTCCAAACTAACTTCAATAACAGTTTTAGCCTCAGAAGAACATTTGTATAAAAGTTGCACCGAGAAAAACAGAGGCTTCCTCATAAACTTCAGTCCACAATCAATTTGTTCCCGTATACACATATATGTGTATATATATGTGTGTGAATCCGATCATAAAATCCAAAAATCATCAAGAATCCCAAAAATTTCATTCAACTCAAAAAGGGCAAAATTTTCAAGACATGCTCACGCACTCATCATCCGTGCCAAAATAGCGGTCTCCAAACTCGCCCATGCCAGGAACAACTCGGAACTCGTCGTTTAAACCGAGCTCTATCTCAGAAGTCACAATCTTTATCCTCGGAAACCTCTTGCACACCACATTTACTCCTTGAGGTGCCTGAAGAAGACACAAAGACCAGGCATCATTGTAACTTCTTCAAGACACAAAACTGGTTTTGGTTTCATGTTTTCAACTTACAGATATCAGATTGAGAAATATGATGTTGTATTCAGGTACGCCTTTGCTTATGAGCAGTCTTATCGCTTGCACCGCCGAGTTTCCTGCACACACCAGAAAAAAGGTTATATCTTGCTCACCAAAAGCAGAGTAAGACCACAAGAAGAATAAATCTCAGACCTGTCCCGAGGATTGGGTCGAGCAAAAGCACGTGCCTTTCCGAAATGTCTGAGGGTAACTTCTCGTAGATAAGCTGCTGGTTGCTATTTTGTTCAGACATATGCCAAGAAGCAGTTACGAAAGAAGTGATGAACAGGGCAAAAGACGCACAAACCTGTTGACCGTTGTCGCCTTCTCTATGAATCAGAATCTTCCCGATCTTGATGCCTTTGCAGCATGCTCTAAGAGCATTCTCCATACTCTCACCACTGCACCAATCAAATTGTTAGAGTTTCAAAAGACACAATCGTTTATATGGTCTTGACGATATCACTCAAGTGTTTCGTATTTCTGCTGCTTTCTTTACCTTCTGATAACCGAGACACTACACAGCCTCTTACAGAAGTCGACACCAGAATACACAGATCCTAAACTTAGAGAAAAAAACCAAACATGAGTCTGTATTCTTGCTCAATACAAGTGTTTCATTAGCTTACCTGTGGGAGTGACCACTTGCTTTTCTGTGAAGGGAAGGTGCCCGAGGCCGTGCTCAACGACCTAGAAACAAGACATTATTTGACCAACTTGCTAAAATATAACACGAAACAGAAATCGAATTTGTTGCACCAACCAAACGAATCAATCGGTCGGAGTAGAAGATGAAGTCATGCTTTGTCGTTCTAGAGTCTCTGATCAGAGTGTGCATCCCACGTATCTGCAACCAATCAGTCTATCGTGTCACTAAACAAGATGACGGTCGCAGTTGATTAGACGAGAAAGGTGGGGAAACCTGGAAAGTAGATTGAATGACGTAAAGATTTGGATGTATTTTACAGAGATCGTGTTGACCAAGCTTCGTGCGGATGTGTTGCTCAATCAAATCAATAGCAACATGGTTATCACCACCACGGGGAATTATTATGTCTGCGTATTTCTTTGTTGGGAGTATGAAATCCTCAAATGCTGGCTTCACAAACTTGGAGTACTGTTTAAGAGTTTCCCAAATCAAAACAGAAAACAAGATTCAGATTGACATTGGAAGAAAAATCTTTGCAAACAAGGAAACCTGATCAAGAACAGTCGCTATATCTCTGGCCTTCTCAACAGTGTCGCGTTTGATCCTTCTTGCTAAACGCACATCAGCGTCTGCGTACGATGTATAACCAAGGTGAGTATATATACACTTGTTAAGGGATTTGGTTAGATATGTGTAATGGGAAAGACCTGCATCTACAAATATCTTCATGTTCATCAAATCTCGCACGCGAGTGTCATGGAAAATGAGTATCCCTTCAAGAATTATAACATCAGAAGGATTCACCTACGAATATATATCATAAACACAGAGAGAGAGAGAGATATTAGTATATGCATGATTTTTAGATAGGCAATGATGAACAAGTTGAAAAAAGACAAGAGAATCAAACTCCGAACTGATGCATTTACCATTCGACAGTTGTAATAAGTTTCTTACCCTTCTAGGTGGAAAAACATTGTTCTTGTAACTTTTGAAGTCATAGTTGGGGATATCTACTGCTTGTCCCTTTCTCAACTTCTCCATGGAACACAATAACTGCTCCGTGTCGAAAGCGTCTACAAGACAGTGAGTAAAATTCATATTTACAAGCAACTCACAAGTCTAAACGAAACACAAGAGTCTGTATCAGATTAGTTTTTCACTTTTCAGAAACTTACTAACCAGGATGGTCAAAATTGTAATCATGAACTCTTACAAGCTCCTCTTCATTCACATTATGGTAGAAAGAATCCTGCAAATAAAGATCAAACCTCAAGGCATTTACACATATATGACTTACAAGTTACAACCACTTGTCTGAACTAAAAAAAAACGTAACCAACACTATTCACATTTCGAGTTAGTACAAGAAGCACCTGCCTGATTCACAACAACGGCTCTCTGATCATGGAGTTGCTGCATAATCATGTCGCAGACAGTTGTTTTCCCGGATGCTGCTCCTCCAGCAACTCCTGAAAACAGCACAAAAGAGTCCACTTCCTATAAACATTTCTGATTCTAACTATCTTCAAAGCAGGTAAGATCAATCACCAGACCGATCACAAAAGGCTGCCCATGTTCTTCTTCTTCAGCAGAGACAGCCATGTGCTCTGGTCTAGTTGAATCCATACCATCCGTTTGATGAAATCCTGAGAAATGGACTTTTGTGGATGTTTCTATTATATCAACACCCGATTTTGAAGCCATCCCCTACATCACAAAAAGAAAAAGAGTATACGTTTTAAAATCACATGAAAACGTCAATAAGGAATACAAAGCTATCACCTTTTGATTGTCACCAGTAAACGAAGAACACAAAGGAAGCCTACTTTTTGGTTTCAGTCAAACAAAAAGAATCCAACTTTTGAGTCGTTTAGATTCCACAAGTGCCAATGCCGTGAAACCCATTTCCTCAAATCCCGTTAAAAGCACAAAACAAGAAACAAAGAGGACATTTGGAACGTGTTCATGATCGATCAGAATCGTCCTAGAGATGTAACGCAGATCCTAAACGGAAAACGCGATCATTTTACGGGAAAATTGAACGAAAGAAAAGACGGACATCAAACAGAGAAATATAAATCAAATCCATGCATAAAAAGAAAACGAAAACCCAGGACTAGAAGAAATGTTCATTGATTGACCATAGAAATCAATAAGCGAGCTTTCACAGGAAGAAGAAGAAGAAGAAGAACTCACGAAAATAAAAGAAAGAAGGGATTCAATGAGCTTCGAGATCACTGATTAGCTACACAAAAAGCTTCCCAGTTTCAGATAAAGAATCCAACCATAAATAGACAGAGAGAGAGACACACGAGCATTGCCTGTTAAACTCGATGCACAGACAAAAACTCAGTTTTATATATGTAGTAACGTACATAGACATGCGGTGAGAGAGATGCAGCGGCGGAGAGCAAGTGCTTTCTTGCTAATTACGATACTACCCTCCACGGTGAATTGTACTTTGGGGCACTTGAGCAGTGGCAAATCTTGTAAATTTATGTGTGTGTTCCCGTCGCAAAAGTCGAGAGAGTGGTCGACGATCCACGTCAGCTCCGAATCGGATGTGGGACCTACTTTCGAATAATGTCTTTTCTTTTGGTTACCGCAAAATAAAATATATTATAACTTAAGTATTTATATTTTTGTTACCAAAGAAGAAACTATTTCGGATCGCGTCTGCAATTATTTTTAACACTTTTGTGTTTCTTCCATTTCAGTCCATAATAACATTTAACTTCGTACGTTTCCAAAACTATCTTTCCCGGCCCAAAACTATCTTTCCGGGCCCATGAGACCCAAGCCTTTTTAAGCATCTCCTCACGAAGACGAGAGAGACAAAAAGAAAGAGAAGAAATCGGCGGCGTTAGTCCCAGAAACAATCAGATATCTCCTCGCCATGGTGTGGTGTAACCATTGTGCGAAGAATGTTCCCGGATCTCGCGACGACAGTGGTTTGTAAGTGTTTTCGATGGTGTTTTCGATTTTGAAATTTGAGTTATTGATGAGCTTTGTGTATGTAGGGCATGTGATTTATGTGGGAGGGTTTTGGAAAACTTCAATTACTCTGATCAAGTCACATTCATTAAGAATGCGGCTGGACAGGTATGCTTTAGACCTAGAAGAATGTGATCAAATAGAGAGCATTTGAGATTATGACTGTTTCAAGCTTAATTGTAGTAATTATAGAATAGATTATAAAACTGCTTCATTGGGATGCTATCTTCTTTTGGTTTTGGTGCCTTTCACAAAAAGCATACACATGTTATTATTTCTGTGCCTGCAGAGTCAAGCGTCAGGTAACATAGTGAACAGTGTTCAGAGTGGGATTTCAAGCTCACGTGAAAGGAGAATTAGAATAGGTATGTCTTTTGTATATAAGACTTTCTCTTCACTGTCGGCCTAAATAGTGAAACTGATGCATGATCTTGAGTGTTTTTTGTTTTTGCAGCTAGAGATGAGTTTATGAATTTGAAAGATGCCTTGGGAATTGGTGATGAGAAAGATTTTGTGATTGACATGGCTGTCCGATTCTTTACAGTATGTTTCGGGCTTTACATATCGGTTTCTGGATATTAATCGGATTGTCTAACTCAATTTATCTGCTCAAGATGGCAGCTGAGCAAAACTTCACTAAAGGGCGCAGAACTGAACTAGTGCAGTCTTCCTGTCTCTACTTGACTTGCAGGTTGGAATCTTTCTTGCACACTTCTTTCCTCAGTTTTGTTTCGCATTGACCAAAAATTTTCCCTTATCTCTAGGGAAAAGAACATTCCGTTTCTTCTTATTGATTTTGCAAGCTACCTTCGAGTTTGCGTGTAAGCATGACTCCCCTACTTTTTGATACCCTAATTACCTGTGCAGAGTCGAGTAATAATGGCTGCTTTTGGTTTCATTTTTTTTTTTTTTTTCTAGTTACGAGTTAGGTTCTGTCTACCTGCAACTCTGTGAACTGCTCTATTTAGTGGAAAACCGCAACTATGAGGCGCTTGTTGATCCTTCAATCTTCCTTCCTCGATTCACAAACAGTAAGTATATCGTCTTTTGGCTCCCATTAACATCAGTCAAAATACAAACAGTTATATCAAATCATACACTTGCAGGCTTATTGAAAGGTGCACACGATCAAGCAAAAAATGTCGTGAAAACAGCTAGAGACATTATAGCTAGTATGAAGAGAGATTGGATGCAGGTGTGACTCCTCTTACCTACATGTTGTTTGTTTTTTTCTATTCTGGCTTGTGTTAATGTTGGCCATCTACTGCCTTGCAGACCGGCCGGAAACCAAGTGGAATCTGTGGAGCAGCAATTTACATAGCTGCCCTTTCTCATGGTATCATGTGCTCTAGGACAGATATTGTAAGAATATTGTAAGAAACGAATATTGTTATAGATCAGAGCAACCAACAGTTGGTGTTTTGACCCCTGCCCTTTGATGTGTTTACTAAATATTTCAGGGAAAAGTTGTGCATATGTGTGAAGCAACAATCACCAAAAGATTGATTGAGTTTGCTAATACCGAGGCTGCAAGTTTCACTGTGAGTTATTTCATTTGCAGGATATGTTACAAATCTATGGCTAAGAGTTTCTAGTTGTAGAGTTATTCGCTAATTACATGGGCTCATATTACTTGTATGTTCATTCTTTTTCAATTGTTGTACATGCTTGGCTAGGTTGATGAGCTCACTGAAAGAGAAAGGAAATTGCGTAAAGAAACTTTTACCCCAAGACCAAATTCTGAGAAGGGAGAAGTGATGTGTAAACACAAGGATTTACAACGTTTTGGTTATGGATTATGTGAGACCTGTTACAATGATGTAAGTCTCGGGATTTTTCTCTTTCCATTTTATCTGCTTATGCAACTGGCACAAATGGCTCCTGAGAGTTGACAATCACATGCTTTTCTTTTCCAAATTTTTCCGGCAGTTCATTAGAATTTCTGGTGGAGTTGTTGGTGGGTCGGATCCTCCTGCTTTCCAGCGAGCAGAGAAAGAGAGAATGGAAAAAGTTGCAGCTACAGAAGAAAACGAGGGAGGAATTGGTAGCTTAAACCATCATGAACAAGTATCGAAAACAGATTGGGATGCTGAAGCTTCGGATGAATCCGGCAATCTTTCTGAGCTCGATGGTGATAGTGAGGTGGGCAAAAAAATTCTCTTGAGTCTATCTCGGTCTATTTTCCTTACAAGAGTTTCACTTTACATTTGATGGTTGGTCATAATATTTCACTGTGTCCCAGGTGGATGGCTGTTTTCTCGGCGAGGAAGAAAAGCGCCTGATGGAGATCTCATGGGAATTAGAAAACGGACCATATCTTGAGGTGATAGGCGATATCATTTATCTTGTCTTGTAAGTTGTTACATACATAAGAATCTTACCAAATTATATATTGTTTTGTAGGAGAAAGCAGCTAAGAAGAGGGCTAGTGAAGCTTTCAACGCTAATTGCCCAGAACACACAAGAAATCTCGTTGAAGCTTCTAAAGCATCTGTGGCAAAATCTAGAAAGGTGACTAGATTTAAACTATGTTGATGCATTATAATGTGATGTCCCTATATAATGGTTTATCAATCAAACTCTTGTTTCTCTATTCTCTTTTGATTTAGGAAAAGCGACAAAAACGGGCTGAGGAAGCAAAGAATGCGCCTCCCCCAGCCACAGCCATGGAAGCTGTTCACAGAATGCTTGACAAAAAGGTAAAAGTGTGCAACTTGTTTGTATTGTGATGTGACCAAGTGCAGTTTTGGAGTATGTGTGTTCTGACTTGAGTCTTGACTCTTACAGAGACTTAGTAGGTTAATCAACTACGATGTTTTGGAGGAACTTTTGAATACATCAGTAAGTTTTTTCATTATCTCAACATCATGGCTTAAAATTGATCAAAAGTCTTGGGAGTTTTTAGCTCTATATAACTTTCTTCTCCTTTCTTCTTCTTCCAGCCACTTGAGAAATCACCTAAGAGATCGAAAACCAATGAAGATGAGAATGGTGAATATGAAGACAATGACGAAGAGTTCTTTTGAACTCTGCAATCAACCGTAAATTTTGAGTAGAGAGCTCTTCAATCAACTTTTTTTGGAGTCGTAGGAAAGTTGTCTTACCAATTGTAATAAACTGTTACTGCACGAATTAACATCACTAAATCAAATACGTAATAACAAAAATTTCAGAGCTAATCAGGTAATAAAATTTTAATTTTGATACGTTTCCAAATTTTGTTATTACCTGTTAGCTCTGAAAATTTTAACTATGGAAAAATATCATTGCACTTTGTATTTAATTTCTCACATAAATGCGAAGTCTCTGAAGTTTGGGGTTGAGTCCGAAAACAATAAAATGTAGGGGCATTTCCATACTTTCAGAGTTCTGGATCCTCTTTTGTAATTTTCTTACAGATGCGGGCCGCAATTAGAATATTTTCAAATTGGTAGGCAGAAAGAAAAAGAAAAAAAACTGATAGACGACTTTCCTTGTTTCCACTCTCTCTCACAGACAGTGGTCATGATTTCGTCTTCAATTAGGTTCATCGTATCGGGAATTCACCGGACTCGAACCCTAAAATCGCCGGCACATCCTCCGAGACTCTGTATCTCCGTGCCTAGACTCCTCCACTCTGAGTCAAATTCGCCGGGAAGTGGACGAAGATCTGCTGGTTTCAGCGACAGTATGAGCAGCGTTGAGAGAACCGGGTCGGATTCGGGCGCGATCGAGAATCGGGCGAGCAGGATGAGGGAGAAGCTGCAGAAGGAGCTAGAGCCGGTGGAGCTAGTGATCGAGGATGTCTCGTATCAGCACGCCGGTCACGCCGGGATGAAAGGTAGAACCGACGACGAGACGCATTTCAACGTGAAGATCGTCTCAAAGGGATTCGAAGGAATGAATCTGGTGAAGAGGCACAGGCTAGTGTACGATTTGCTCCGGGAGGAGCTGGATAGTGGATTACACGCTCTTTCCATCGTCTCCAAGACGCCGTCGGAGTCCAATCGTTAGGCATCTCTCTCTCTCTCTCTCTCAAATAAGGCCACTACTGAATATTGTATCTTCTGTTTCTCTATGAGAGTTTTTGTATCCTTGATGTTTGTCGAACCCAACTCTTCTCGACTTCAAAAAGTATGAATTTTCCAAATCAAAGGCTCTGCTTTTCAAATGATTGCGATTCGTGTTTCTGGGTCTCTTGAACTCAGAACCAAATTCTTCGTTTTTACATACGCTTGAGGGTGTCGATGTTTCTGGGTTTGTGCTTGCTTTTGGTTTTCTAGGATTCAAAGTGTGTTGTTCATAGCTTGATGAATTTGTTGTCTCTTATTTTGATCAAGCTTTAGTTTGTAAGAGGTGGTGCAAGCCAGTCATATGAACTTATGATGAAACACTGTTATGTCAGAATGAAAACCACAAGCTCCGGTTTAGGGTGGTGGTCATTGAAGCTCGTTTGTGCCATGTGTTTAGCTTTCTGTTTTTTTCTTCGTGTTTGAGCGTCTTTCTTCTTCAAGTCCCATAGTCATCAATGGCGTTTGTGTTTTTCTAGTATTACTGAAAACAAATTTTGTTTAGAAAGAGAAACTTTCCAAAAATGTCATCATTCATCTGTAAAATCACTGCAATGGCCATGAGAGAACTCTCGGAGCCTAGCAGAGATCGAGACAATGACAAAGAAGTTTGGGTCAAACACTACTCATCAAACCATCAGATGCTTCTGGTCGGCGAAGGAGATTTCTCATTCTCGTGTAGCTTAGCCACTCGCTTCGGCTCTGCTTCCAATATTTGCGCTTCCTCTCTCGACTCATACGGTAACACTTCGCTTGATTACATTTTGAGTGCTTTTAGGGTCTTGCCTCTTGATTTCGTTTTCTATGGCTTTTATCTCACTTTCAGCAGAATGGAAATTGATTTATAGTGTAAACAGCTTCCAGTGAATGATTGTTTGTTAAGTTTTACTTCTGACCATCTTTGTTTATATCTTACAAACAGACGAGGTAGTTAAAAAGTACAAGAAGGCAAAGTCAAACCTTCAGATTTTGAAGCGACTTGGAGCAATACTTTTACATGGAGTTGATGCGACCAAACTGCAACTACATCCTGATCTTAATCGCAGAAGATATGACCGAGTCATCTTCAACTTCCCGCACGCCGGTTTCCACGGCAAAGAGTCTGATCCCTATCTTATACAGTAAGTTAATGTTTTGACTCTGTATAGACCCGATACTGCAACTTAAAGATTCATGTTTTGACTCTGTGTGGACCAGAGTTAAAGTTTCCGTCTCTGTTTGTTGTAGGAAGCATAGGAAACTAGTGTCTGGATTTTTCCATGGTGCAAGCCATATGCTAAGAGATACTGGAGAGATTCATGTCTCTCACAAGAATAAGGCACCTTTTTGTCACTGGAATCTCGAGGAGCTCGCCAGGAGATGCTCTCTTGTGTTGATTCAACGTGTGGCTTTCGAGAAAAGGGACTATCCTGGTAATGAGAATAAGAGAGGAGATGGGTCCAGATGTGACCAGCCTTTCCCTTTGGGAGACTGCAATACTTTCAGGTTTCACGTGGCTAAGGAGCTTTATACAGAGAAGGCGAAATCGAGAGAAGCCAAGGAACGAGAATCAAAGCATCGTCGTCGTCAAGAACGATTTCTTGAATGCAGTCACCGCGTCAATAGAGTCTCGTCTGAGATTCATAATGGGGAACTGGGAAGAGTGTTACCACGGGCACGGACGAGCTCTCCCCACCGCCACACTGAAGAACCGCCACCAAAGAGACGCTGCCTGCTTTGTCAAGACTTCGAAGTTCATCAAGCTTGCCAAGAACCATTCCCCAAACGTTCTCACCGCGTTAATGGGGTTTTCATGGGATTTATAAAGTGCAAGGACGAAAAATGCTAATACGGAACAGATGATCTCATACATGCACTAACAAAATTCTAAGAATAGCATTGTATTTTGTTCTCTTATGTTTATTAGGCTGACTTCAAAATCCGCGGTGATCTTGACTTTTTTTGTAGAAAATGGTTGCGACTTGCATTATCTCAAGGAGAAAGCGAAACGTCATTTCCATTTTTAATCGTCCCTCTTCCTTTTTAAGCTTATACATCAACAGAGCGGCAACAGTAAACGTTACTATATTTCTGAAAATTAATTAAAAAAAAAAACTTTCGAAAATATCATCATTCTTCAGTCATTACTGCAATGGCCTTGAGAGAGAGACAGTGATGTAGAACTTTGGGTCACACACTATTCATCCAACCATCGGATACTTCTCGTCAAGCACAGCCCAGTGGCACGGCCCACCTATATTTAAAATAAATAAATAAAACTAAGGTTGGAAACGGCAAGTATTGAGAAATTCCAAGACTTGAACTCCACGCTAGTCACAGATCAATGCCTATTCACTTATCTCTTGACACATCAACAAAGCAGAAAAAAACACCAAAATGATGTTGTATTCCACAAGGTGTTTTCCTTTTGACTAGTTTGAAAGAAACCACATACCTTACTACACTCACGGATGTGTTATAGATAATCCGAATGGGTTATAATGGCCTCCACTCTATCCAGTGACGCCTCTAAACGCCCCGAGCTCATGTTGAAAAGTGGTTCTTCGGTACCAAGAGCCCTGTTTCATTCATCATCAGCTAAGCGCTGTGAAAAATGTTGGATTATATGAAGATTTCAGATTTCAGATTTCAGGTTTGTGACACTTGCCCGGTAACCTCAGGGAGTACAAAATCAGCTCTCCATCCGAATCGGAAATCGACACCAGGACTCAAACCAAGAGTAGTTTTGTTCCGGATCCGAGACACGCCATCACCACCCAAACAAGATGTAAGTTTCCATTTCCAACCCATTGCATTCATTTGAAAGTTATGTCCAACACCAACCTGCAGATTTATTAAGGTTCACAACATAAAGGGCGTCATGATGATAAACTCAACATACAGAAACAAACCTGGAGGTTTAGAAATCTGGTGAGAGGGATCTTCTTCGATAATACTCGAACTTCTTGATGTAATGGCTCATATATAAACTTCCACTTCCTTTCTGGTGATAATGGCTTCAAAACAAGCTTTGCGTGGTAATCATTCGTCGGTTCGTTACATAACTGAAAACAGTGGATATTATTCAAAAGCTGTAACACTGATGAACATTCTCATGGCTTAAATAGCGCAGAAGATGCCTCTTTGGATGAATCAAAACTATTTCTAACATCAGATGTGAATATTATCTCTAATAAACCGAAAATTTTATCTCCTAACTCAAAATTCACTAATCCACTATCCATAACGACTCAGAAGCTGTGACAAAGATGAACATGTCAAGGCTTAAACATCAGTTCTCTTTGGATTCTTGAGGAATGAATCAAAACTGTTCCTTTAACATCAGATGTGACTACTATCGCTAAAATTAAACTTCCAACACAAATCCACAAATCCACTATCCATAACGAATCAGAATAAGCTTTGACAATGTTGAACATCTGATGGAGCAAATTCAAAACTGCACACAGCATAGACGAGAAAGGGAAGAGAGAAGGACCTCGAGATTGACGCCGACGCGAAGCCCTTGGAGCTCTTTGCGGAACTTGAGGAATATCTCCGATGGCATCAGGTCGATTTTGTAAAGCTCGTCCCATGACGGAGGTTCCTCCGGTCGCGAACTCGGTGGCTCCATACTTTGGCGAACTCGGTGGAATTGAAGCTTCCGAAATTGCACAAACCCCTACTAAACGACACACATCGAAATGAATAAAAACAAGAGATAGATGTAAAATTTGACAAACAGACACGAGCTTAGAGAAACAGAGAGGCGACGGCGGTAACATAGAGAGGCGCGGCTAACCTTCGCGACAATAGCGGCGGTGAGAGATACTCGTCGGCGGCAACTGCGGCTTGTAGAGAGAAGATATTTGAGAAATTATTGGCTGAGATAGGCCATAGCTAACCTTCAGGGAACGGTGTCGTCTAACAGGAATAAGCTATGATGATTGGTTCGGTTATGTTGAATTTTAGTGAACCAGCTTGTTGGTACGACAATCTTTCTGGAGATAAACCAAAATTAATTAGTGATGTAAACTAAACCGAACCGTCGTCGTTCCGATGATTTGATAGGAAACTCAAGCGTCCCTCTTCTCTGTAGTTGGAGCTTAATCAGTAACGTTACTATATATATTTTGAAACTAAAAATAAACCCCAAAAAAACAGAACTTTCCAATTCATCATCACTCCAAATGGCGACGACGATGAGAGAGCTCTCGAATGTCATCAGAGATGATGATGATGATGAAGTATGGGTCACACACTACTCATCGAACCATCAAATGCTTCTCGTCGGCGAAGGAGATTTCTCATTTTCCTGCAGTTTAGCCACTCGCTTCGGCTCCGCTTCCAATATCATCGCTTCCTCTCTCGATTCATACGGTAACACTTCCTTCGCGCACTCTGTGAGAGTTTTTCGGGTTTTGATTTCGTTTCCTAGTAAAATTTCTACGGCGAGAATTTAGGGTTTTTTTATCTGTGCCGGAATCAATTTGTACGGTAAACAGAAGCTACGAGCTTCCGGTGAATAATAGATTTTTCAATCTCTGTTTATAGCTTCTAAACCTGGTGAAAGGTTTTAGCTTTAACTTCGATTTCTTCTGCTGTTTCATGTCTCCTCCTATGGTAATTGTTGCAGATGATGTGGTTAGAAAGTACAAGAATGCGAGATCAAACCTTGAAACTTTGAAGCGACTTGGAGCAATCCTTTTACATGGAGTCGATGCAACAAGGCTGCAACTACATCCTGATCTTAATCGCAGAAGATATGACCGAGTCATCTTCAACTTCCCGCACGCCGGTTTCCACAGCAAAGAATCTGATCCCTATCTTATACAGTGAGTTTCTGCTTTGACTCTGTATAGAGCTGATGATGCGGGAATGTCATTATGAGAATGGCTGTGTGTTGTGTAGGAAGCATAGGAATCTAGTGTTTGGATTTTTCCATGGTGCAAGCCGTATGCTAAGGGCTGATGGACAAGTACATGTATCACACAAGAACAAGGCACCTTTTTGTGACTGGAATCTCGAGGAGCTCGCTAGCAAATGCTCTCTTGTGTTGGTTCAGTGTGCTGCGTTCGAGAAGAGCATGTACCCTGGTTATGAGAACAAGAGAGGAGATGGCTCCAGATGTGACCAGCCTTTCCTTTTGGGAGAGTGCACTACTTTCAAGTTCAGAGTCTCTCGCGTGGCTAAGGAGCTTTATGCGGAGAAGCTGAAATCAAAGTTTCTTTCAAACAAGCATCCACTCTCTTTTGATCTTGAAAGATCGCTCTCCTTTGAAGGTGTTAGCCAAAGACCGCCGGTTTCATTTGATCTCAGCTTTCACCATGACCATAACCTTAGGCAACTCCAAGATCATTTGTTCCAATCAAGACAGAGAACATCTCCACTGGATCTTGGTTATTACCAAGAACATAGATTTTCACAATTTGAAGATGCTAGCTCTATTCGAGCAACTCAAAGACCAGCGTCGGTTGCTCATGAAAAAAACCATGCCTGGTTTCAAGACAACTCAGTACAGCTGGAGATGCTCAGATACACTGAAAGAAGCAGCTCTCAGTTTCACGACTTTCCTTTGCAAGCTAGCCATCATCGCCACGAACGTTTCCTTGAATGCTCAAGCCGCTACAACGAGGCTTCGCCTGATATTTATAACACGGGGATACAAAGTATGCTAACACGGACGAGCTTTCCTCATCCATACACTGGAGAATCACCAGAAAGACGCCGCCTGCTTTGTCAAGACTTTAAGCTTCAAGCTGGTCAAGAACCAATCTACGGACGCTCTAACTACTTCAGCGAAGGTACTCGTGAGATTTATAACGGGGACGGACGAAGAATGTTAACACATACCAGCTTTCCTCATCGGTACATTGAAGAATCACAAGAACGAGGCTTGGCTAACCCTCTCAACATTTACCCTCCACACCACTGGTAAATCATTTCTCTGCTTTGCGTATATATTATATGAAACGAAAAAGCTCCTTAAACCGATAAAGAAAAATTTCCAGGTGACAGAGATCTTGAAATAACTTGTGAGGAGGATAGCTTTGATGGGAACAAGGGTACTGAAGCTTGGACTCACTAACAGATCTTTAAGGATTGCAGTTGGCTAAGTACTGACAGCTCAAAACTGGAGATGATCTCAGTTATGGATATATGATCACTTGGGGTAATTTTTGTGTGTCTATTTGGTTTTTGGAGAATGTGTACAATCGTTGCAGAGTCGTCTTGCAAATATAACGGTCTCTCCTGGTATCTCCATCCACTCTAAGACACTAAATAGACCAGATGGTTTGGTACGACGGGTATTTATTTTTTGTTTTACTTATTTTTACTATATGGTAAACAACTTACAATACGATTTTTATCATTTCGTGTAGACTTGGTATATACATAAACTTAGCCCACAAGGCGACGACAATCACTATCCGAAACTCGTCAACATTCAACTTCTAATCCAATAAGTAATTGAAAAATGGAAGTGTCAAGCAAACTGCAAGGAAATTGATAGTGAGAATATTTAAGGATGATAATAATGGAACTTGCAAATTTCAAGGAATTTGCTTATATAATTACTACGAAACACGTCCAATCCAATTTGTTTTTAAATCTGTTACCTATAATAACGATTAACGGCCAATAGCGTATAAATACTAATAAAGCTTAAATATTATATAACCTTCTTTGAAAGTTTCGTCAAGTCTATATATAAGATTGTCTATATGTAATGTAGAAATTTAATGCCAACTCTATAAGATTGTTTTTATGGCTCTATATAAGTAAACAAAGCAGCCTTAATGATAGAGAATATAAATAAGTCAACAGTATAATCTTATTTTTATCCAAACTAGGATTCTGGATATTTCTCATTCATTGCGTATGACCATCTTGTTCTCTGTATATATATATCGATCCAAGCATTCAGCTTGCATTATTACACTTTTAAAGTAAAATCTTGGTTTTTCTCGATCCATACTCAAAAACCCCATATCCTTCGGCAAATATGATGAAGGTACTTAATTTCTTACAAAACATGGAACATATATATAAGCATTTTTAAAAAAAAAATGTTATTTTATAAATTAAAATTGATATTTTGTTATATCATCGTTCTTTCTTCAGCAAAGGATTGTTTTGAAGATGGATATGAGTGAGAATGAGAAATCAATAAAGAAAGCTATGAAAATCGCATCTGGAACATCTGGTAAACATCTCTACATGGCTTCTTTTGCAGATAACTTGCAAAACAAGTTAGGTCATAACTAAGCATGTGAATCGTTTCAGCAACTTTTGCTTGTTTACGTGCGCAGGTGTGAGATCGGTCTCGATTCAGGGACAGAACGATCAGTTGGTTGTATTGGGAGAAGGAATTGACACGGCGGAGCTAACACGTGAGCTCCGGAAGAAGGTTTGTCACACGACCATCGTCTCCGTTCAGGCCGCACCGCCGCCACCACCACAGCAGCAGCAGCCGCCACCGCAGCAGCATCTTATCGGACATTACAACGAGATGGCTCCGGCGAGACGATGCATATGTGAGATACCTAATTCGGGCTACTGCGGATTTTGTCGATCTATGAGTGGAGGAAACCCTTACCAGATGATAACACCGGTGAACTATGGTGGTTACCGTGATGATCCTGATGGTTGCAGAATCATGTGACTCAAACTTTGAGTGGTTTTTGTCGAGTTTGTTTTTGAGTCTATTATATTGTTCTTATCATACTGTACCGTAGATAGAAATTTTTAAAATTCGTGATGCTGTAATTGTTGTGACTTGTAGACTTGTGAGTTGTGACAGTGGAGTCAAGAAGTCAGAAAAAACAAAATTCATTAAACCCCCCAAAAAAAAGAAAAGTTAAATTTAACGTTGCTTGATCGAATTAAGTACGCTCAAACAACGTAGAAATAAGATTATGTATTCAAACTCGTTCATCTTTGTCAAAGTGAAAAATTATGCGTCTTAAAAGCAAACGTAAAAAGGATTAACATTTTTAATTATTTTCAAATAAATTTGAAGAAGTGCTGTTTTATTTTTCTGTCCCAAGTTGTGCTTATTCTTTATAATGTGATGAAGTCAAAGTCCACTACTATCATTTCTTTAAGAACGTTGCTTTGGTGAATGTCCAAGGACTGGTTCGTGGAGAGAGAGAGAATTGATTTTAATTCCCATAAAAATACTATTTTAAAAAATCCTAAACATTCCTTGAACTTTTTGTTTATTCTCGGCCTCAAATGGCAGGAAACGTGATCGTGTCAATATCATTAAATTTTGGTAACTCGATATCAATCATTCAATGCGGGATAATCTCAGAAACTTTAAGGAAACTACAGGAAAAAAATTATCAATGACGAATATATTATGAGATGAATATTGCATGCAAAAACTAAAAACAACTGATACAGAACAAAAAATTATATACATAGAGACAAAATAAAATTAAAATACTTCAAAATACATTTTTTAAATCAACCCATAGCGTGTTCAGAATTAGCATCTCAGCCCATAGCCCTATTAGCGCGCGCGAATACGTCAAATCAACCGTTAGGCCCATTATGCAGTTGGCCCAATCAGTTGCTATCTGTTTCTTGTTTCGCAAGTTGCAAATTTCCCGCCTATTTTCGAAGGCAAAAAATTAGTTGTCCTTTTTCATTATAAACAAAGTTCCTAAAAACAGATTATCTTCAACAACACAACAAACCAATAAAACAGAAATCGTTTTTGACCTGGATTATTTGTTTTGGTGGTTTCATCATCTCTAATATAAACCAACCTTCATCAACCACAATCCGATCAATTCAAACCCAATAATCAAAGATGAAGCAATTCGCAGGGCTTCTCTTCCTTTGCACCGTTCTTCTCTCCTCAGTCGCTGGAAATGCTGATTCCGGGATGATCACCGATCTATGCAAACACACTGATGATCCCAAACTATGTCTTTCCAGCATTCAGGCGCGTCCCGAGTCAGGCGAGTTCGCAGCCACCAACAACCAAATCGAGATCATAGCTATTTCCGCCGCCTCATCAAACGCTTCCGCCACTTCCGCATACATCAAAGAAAAGCTCAGCCGCGAGGATCTGGAGCCGGCGACGGAGGACACTCTCGAGGATTGTCAGAAGAACTACCAAGACGCCGTGGAGCAGCTCGACGACTCGATCTCCGCGATGCTCGCGAACGCACACGCAGACGTTGACGTGTGGCTGCACGCGGCGATCAGCGCCATCGAGTCCTGTGGAAACGCGTTGGAGTCACGCGCCGGGAATGATGCGGAGCTTTCCCGGAAGAACGAGGTTTTCCTCAAGCTATGCAAAAACGCTTTGGTGATTAACAAGATGTTAACTTGAGAGAGTTGAGTATAAATCTCCAGAATTTGAATGTATTGTATAAATATTTGCTTGTTTCTTCCTTTCTTTCTTTTTGACAACTAATTTGTTATTGCTTTAATTAAAAATGGCATCATTTGCATCAAGGGCAAATATTAAGAGGAGTTTACTTTAATCATATAGTTTCATTTCATGATAACGGATACTAACTTTTGTCTTTGTCGACAATGAAATACTCCGGCTCAGGTAGAAACTCTTTATTGGGCCCAAATTATGAAAGCCCATAATTGAAAAAGAAGAAGATGAAATTGGATCAATCTTATAGACACTATGATTAGGCGGTGTAGAAAAAATGTGTCAAAGAAAAAACAATAGTTGAAATCCAATAAAAATGAAACCAATGGTGGAGATCTACTCGACCCATCATGCCATTTTTCTAGTCAAATTGTTTACCAAACTCCAACTTCATCGTTGACCTACCATATTCATAAAGTAACGAATGTAACATTTTGAATTATCTACATAAAATCAAAATCAATAAACTGATATTTTAAATAAAAACAAAATAACGTTGATTAGTATAATTATCAAGATTGATAATTTTCGGAAATGTACGGACACGATCAATTGGGACATCGTTTCAAAGAGGTTGCTTGGAAGATTGGGTGTTGGATAGATTCTAGATTCAATCTCCCACAAAATGACAAAACACAGAGATACCTTTCTTCTACACTTGGACCAATTATCTCTACACACTTGTTATACGCTTTGATTGTTTTCTTTCCAAGAAAATCATTTTTTTCTTTTTTTCCTTTTATCTATCACTCAAAATGAAATTCAATACCAAGTAGGTATTTATAAATAAGCTTTAGTATATTGTATTAAAACCTATGTGAATCAATTCAAACAATTTACACATCAAACATGAGATCATAAGAGAAAACTTGCACTCTTGTATAGGAAGGAATTCAAGATTCTAATATGGCCCCACACCATTTGTTGCCTTTCCTCTTAACAATGATAGAATCCTGCTTTCTCTTTACTAAACATCTATGGACTAAACAATATTTTATCAGCCAACTTGATTATACACTTAATACATGATTATACTAATCATATACTGATATTCAAGTACTATATGCCAATCAGAGACATTCTTAGTGTAGCTTTTTTCAAAAACATCTAAACATGATTTGATTAATTCTATTAGTGATATAAGGATTCAAAGTGTGGTGATTACCATGGACAAAGATAATATTAATATGCATATGTGATAGCAAACTGCATCTTGGATACGTTGAATTTCGAATATGTATGGGAAATTCAAGTTGAAGAATCCGATGAAGTTGTAAGTTGAAAGAGTGGGCAAAAGAAACCAAGTTGACATATAATGCACGCAAATCTATGTGAAAGCTGAAAAGAACACTTCACATTAACCTATACTATAATTCGTCTTTTATCACCTTTAAATATGTAGTATAAAATAATTGTAAAGTAGATTCGCCTATCTTGAAGCACACAAATTCTAGTTGCTTCCATCACACTCCAATGCTAACCTCACAATCTAAATCTAAAACACATTGAAACTCTAGACTTAGATTCGTAATAAATAAGATCTTTCATATGTTGACTATATAGTAAACACTCACTATCAAGTAATTATGCAATAAAATAATAATCAACTGGATGGTTATATATATATATATGTATACAAATAATTAATAATGTAATTCGTGAACCATATACAACCCAAGAAATGTTGAGGTGTCTCAGAACCTAAAAGTCTGAAATTAGTTGGAAGAGAAGACTAAAGTCTCCTCCAATAAATGAGACACACGACCCATGATACTAGTGTCCGGTTCGTAAAACAAGCCAAGGAACAGAGGCACCAAACACTTTACTTTACCCCTCTCTCTCTCTCTCTCTCCCTTTCAAATGACGTAAAAGCAAAACACAGACTTTGCTTCCCCGTAATTACCAATCGCAAAAACGCTCGCTAATGATTCCTCCATTAAACAATTCCTCTCCCTAAACCCAAATCTCAATCCTTCTCTCCTTTGATTCTGTTCGCCTTCACCCACACATACATATAGTTTTGTATGTGGAGGAGTGTATGCAAACAACAGATCTTCATTTATGAAATTCACAGCAGCAACCAGCTAAACAAAGTCCACCCCTTTTCTCTCCGTAACCCTCAAATCAGCCGAGAAGTGGTTGTGTGGGAAGAAGAAAAGGGTGAATCATACATATATATGGTAAGAAGAGAAGAAAGGAGCAAACCTGGGAAAGTCAAGGGAGAATTTGCTGGAGGGATTGTTGGATTGTATCCATGACATCACTGCGGCTTTGGCTTTCGCTAGGATGACTGATTCTGCTTACAGAGTCGACACCATTTCCAGGCTCGCCCAATGGCGAATCCACAACCTTTCTTCCTCCACTTACCGCAAGTCCGATCCTTTCAAGATGGGTCTCTGGAATTGGTACCTCTCTTTTTCTTTTTTTTTTTTTGTTTTTCAATAATGATCCGACATGATGACGATGATGATCCTGAATGAAAGAAAGTGGGCACCTTTTTGTTATTGGTGTGTTTGGTGATGATAATCAGATTGATTTTGACAATATGGTGTTTGATTTGAAGGCATCTGTCTGTGGAGAAAAGCAAGATGCTATTAAATGTTAAGTTGTATCCAGAGGTATCGAACCTTACCAGAGAAAACCCACCGGTTGCTTCCTTTGCTCTTCGTGTTGTCTCCTCTGCTGGCGAGAGGAAAGCTTTATCTCATCCAGGTAGAAAAGATGTTGCTTGATTCAATACTTTGATTTTGGTTTCCCCTGGCTTTGTTTCTGTTGGACACAAAAGATGAGTAAAAAATGCTTCTTTAATGAATACACTCGAACGCAGAAGTAATAGACAAGAGGATCAAAACAAACGAAGATTTTGTTTGGACGGTTGAAGTTCCCTTAACTGGAAAAATCATCATCGACGTCGAGTTTCTTGACTTGAAGGCTCTGTCTCAAGATGTAAGTGTCTCATCACTTCAAAGGTTTTTACTTAAGAAATCGACAAAAGCTTCTTCCTTTTTTTTGCTTTTGGTGTTTGGTTTGATATAGTTTACCTGAAATCGGCAGAGTGGGGAGATTTACTCAATCTGGGAAGACGGTTCAACGGAGAACCAATCGAAAGTGACGGCGGTAGCATCACTTGGACGAATGTTAAAAGAAAGCATTTACACAGACATAATGATCAATGCCTCTGGTGGAAGCATCGGAGCACACCGAGCTGTTCTTGCTGCACGCTCACCTGTTTTCCGCAGCATGTTCTTACACGACCTGAAGGAGAAAGAGCTGTCAGCAATTAACATACCCGACATGCCCCTTGATGCTTGCCAAGCTTTTCTCAGCTATATCTATGGCGATATCCAGAACCAGGACTTTCTTACACACAGACTGGCACTCCTCCAAGCAGCAGATAAATACGATATCGCTGATCTGAAAGACGCGTGTCACCTGAGTCTCTTGGACGATATCGACACGAAGAATGTGCTCGAGAGGCTACAGAATGCTTATCTCTATCAGTTAGCTGAGCTGAAGGCAAGCTGCATGATGTATCTTGTGAAGTTTGGTAAGATATTTGAAATCCGTGATGAGTTCAGCATCTTCATGCAATGCGCAGACAGAGATTTGATCTCCGAAGTTTTCCACGAAGTCCTGAGTACCTGGAAAGGATTTTAAGGGGATCAAAAATGGGTATGTGTGTGCTATTATACAAGAACATTTATGTGTGCAGGAGGATTTGTTTGGTCTTTATGTACAGATTAAAGTATTGTTGGAGGTTTTTTGAACTCAAAACCCCATACAAGTATTGTCCTTTCAAGGTTAAAAACAGCAACATGTAAATGTTCATGATTTGATTGAATGCGAGCTTCTAAGCTTCAACTTTGAACTGTTGATCTACAACACTAATGTTGGTAATTTTAGAGAACCAAACTACTTGTTTCCACTCTAGCACAAGAACATCTTAACATGTGCTACCAAAATATGTACATATGCTTTACAACACCTATCGCTCCGTGGACTGAATCAATTGCTGTATAAGTGATTTCAGATCGTCCTAGAATCAGACATGTCTCTGAAAACAATAGCGAGCGACAATGGGGTACCAAAATTGAATCCCGAAACTCATGAATAGAGGACAAAAGTTAAAACAACTAATTTAATAGGAACATGAATGCGCGTATACAGAGGATAATCAGAAATTTCTGGGACTCGGAAATGATTTCAAGTTGGGAAACTGAAATGGAGCGAAGACTTACTTGCCGATAACGATCACAAGCATCGCCTTCTTCTTCTTCTTCATCTTCGAACTCGGAGCAGAGAGATTCGGATCTGCCCCACCCGAGAGGGAATCTTGTTTTTAAGATGCGGAGAAGCCAATAATACCATTTTTTTCTTTTCCCGGGCTACTTTTCCATAAAAAAATTCGAAATATCAAAACGTCGTCACGCAATGATAATGGGCCTTATAGCCCAGTGAGAACGTCTAATGGGCAATGCAATTTATGCATTTAAAGAAAACGGCTTCGTTTTAGTCTGAGAATATAGCCCTAAATAATCATCCTTCCGCGAGTTTGTTTGTCCCTTGCTAGCACACCAATTGACACAGAACTCTCTGTTTCCTCAGCCGTCTAGTAATCAAGGTGCTCTTTTCTTCTTTATTCAAAGTAGTAATCAACTTTACGATCTAGGGCTCATCTCTATGAAATTCTGGTCTTTCCTTTTCTTTATGTCAATTTAGTTGATAATCGCACAAATGCTATCTCCTCTTCTCTGTGTGATGATGATTCTCGGGAAAATCTCTGTTATCATATGACGAATTTAGGATAAGTTTAACGAATTTGGTGTAGCCATAGGTGTGTGTGAGAGCCTTCCTTGTTCTGCTTATATTCGTGCATTGAATCACAAGTTCCTGTTTGTATGCTGCTTTTATAGGTAGGTTTGAATTTATAATCGTTGAAGGGAGAAGAAAAGAGAATCAATGGCAGAGTCTATTGAGATGGAAATTCAGACTGCAACTGAAGCGGCGGCTAAGCCAAACTTTAAGCCACTGAAGGCTCATGAGATGTCTGACGGGAAGGTTCAGTTCAGAAAGGTTTCGGTCCCACCAAACCGGTACTCTCCTCTGAAGAAAGCTTGGTTAGATATCTACACGCCGGTCTACGACCAGATGAAGGTCGACATAAGGATGAATCTCAAGTCCCGCAAGGTCGAGCTCAAGACCAGAGCTGACACATCCGATGTCAGCAATCTTCAGAAGTCTGCGGATTTCGTACACGCTTTCATGCTAGGTTTCGACATCCCTGACGCTGTCTCGCTTCTGAGAGTAGACGAGCTTTACGTGGAGTCCTTTGAGATCAAGGATGTCAAGACCCTCAAAGGGGAGCATCTGTCCCGAGCCATCGGGAGGTTGTCGGGGAAAGGAGGAAAGACCAAGTTTGCTATTGAGAACTCTACGAAGACGAGGATTGTGATTGCAGACACGAGGATTCACATCTTGGGAGCCTTCTCCAACATTAAAGTGGCAAGGAATTCGCTGTGCAGCCTTATCATGGGATCTCCAGCTGGAAAGGTTTACTCCAAGCTCCGATCCGTCTCTGCCATATTAGCTTAAGGGTTTTGAATCAATTTTGTTACTAAGAGTGTATGAATTTTTGCATAAGAAAAGTTTGAGTTGTCAAATCTATTATAACAGCTGATATGGCTCGTGATCCATTTCACGATAAGAGATAGTGGTAAAGTTGGTGACATAGTCGGTTGTAACTTGTTAGAGTTTGTGTAAATGGTTTGAAACAGCAAACAACTCACTCTCGTTGCATATTAAGAGTAATCTCGTTAATGTCGACCATAAAATTTGCACTAACGTAAGCAAACATAACAAACAACGAAAAGGAACGTTTAGGATCAAACAAAACACCCAAGCCAAAGCCTAAGAGAGCGAAGGTCAAGCCCAAAATGAAAGTAGAAAGGGCGTGTCTAGTGTCCATGGGGGAGTTGAGCTGGAAGATGGCGATCCCGAAGGCGAACAAGGAGCATACGTAGATCAAGACATAGACGGTGGTGTAATAGTAGGGGAAATAAAACATGGCTGACAAAAGAATCGTAGAGTAGCCCGCGCGTGTACCAGGCAGATGAGGCTCTTCTTCCTTGTAGATGCGAGTGTTAAGGGACATGAGCAGCAGCACCACGTACAAAGTTGTCGCACCCATGGGCGCGTACCAGGACCAAGACGATGAAAGACAGAGGCCTGTGAGTGATATGTACATGCCACATATCGACAACATGCCTATCATTTTCCACATATTTTCTAGACTCATCATGTCACTCGTCCCTTTCTTTCTTTTTTTCTTGTTGTTGGTTGTTGTTGTTTTGATACGGAGATGATTAATTTATTTGTAGGGCTTCTGTGCACTAACAAGGGTTTTTCTTGATAGGCTTGGCGAATTAAAATCTACGGTAGTTACTTCCTCTTTTTTTTCGATATCTAAACTGAAATTATCCAGTATCTTTTGTAATATTTTTTTAACAGGCCCGCCACAATCTCAGGAACAAAAATTGACTTTTTATTTATCTATATATTTCTAAAACCAAATGGATTAAACATATACAGGCATTTATTTCAGACCAGGAAATTAATGGCCGACGAAGGTTTTACCAATAACAACACTATATGATATACGACAAGGCTTTCTTGATACCACATGATTTGCTTTCTCCCTTTCACATTCTCTCTTATGATCTTCAAAGCAACGATATGAAAAATATCGATATCAAAGGCGTACAGGACCACTGGTTTAGTAAGGACAAATCCACCTCACGGTGGATGGATCAGACTCAGAATGAGAGTATCATGTGCCTGGAGAGTTGAACTTTATCATTCCTTTCTAAACCTCTATAAATAATACGTGTTTGTGTCATTGTGTGTGTGTTTTTAGATTAACAAGACACTTTAATTATTATTTATTGGCTTTATATGACATATTAAAAGAGTTATGGTATAATTAAGATGCTCTAACGCATATACCTCTATCTCTATGGTATATTGATTGCTGCTGACACTACTTGTTTTGGCTGCACGTATGCATTTAAATGTATGAATTTGAATCTGAACTAGGATTTTTCTTTTTAATTTTTTGAGTCGTATATGTATAGGATTGTGCCTTTCTTACTCTTAGACTGCTCTTTTCTTCCTTCTAATTTAGAATGTTTTGTTCTTATGATTAGATCATTATGAAGCAACATACTTAACCTTAAACCCGTCGAGAATGTTGATATCTACTACACTACTAATGTTTTCTTACTCACACTTCTCTTCTACACGCGACCACTGCCTTCAAACTTGTCTCCTCTTTCCCTCTAATACAACACCAATGTCTCCAATTTTCTTCTTTTCACCAAATTTCAACTGAACCAAAGTTATGACGAACCTTGTAGATGATGAAGAAGACCCTTTGTTTTCATTTTTAACATAATGAATAATACGTTTCAGGAATTTCACTACAAGAAACACTAAACATAATTACAGTTTTTTTTGTAGCTATGAACAAAATTTTGTAGCAAATTTTGTTTTTGCTACAGTATGTTACAAAACAAAATTAGTAACTATGTGATTGTAGCAAATATTATTTTGTGGTAATTTGTAACAAAACTGCTACAAATTAGTAACAAACAAAAACTGTAACAATTTACTTCAAATTTGTTACATTCATTTCGATAATAAATTAGCTACAATGTAGTTATAGTATAAATAGTGGCAATTTATTACAATTTCCCACAAAATTTTTGTACCCAATATTGAAGACTAGCCACAAATCTATTTGTGGCTAATCGGTAGTATTTTCTTAAAAAAAATACAAAAAAAATCTCTAATACATTATTAAACAGTAAGAACAGGGGAATAGATTATATAAAACCAATACATAACAAATCACTATACATATTCAAGTCTCTAACCACTTTATTTATAAAATTCTAATCACCTAATTTCTATAGTAATAATATTCTAATTTATAAAGTACTAACAACCTAATTTCTATGGTATATGTATAACAAAACGTCTAACTTGTAAATATTAAGAGAAAACCAACATAGAAATAAGATGTTCCCTCCCCTTTCTATCTCCACCGGTTTCCAAATGCTTGCACCTTTGGAGAAACAAAAAATAACAATGTATGAAAACAACCAAGCTACAAATCACTCTCTCAAGTTACAGTTGATGCAAAAAAGAAAACTACCAAGTTTCACCTTGATCCAATGATCAGACATGTGCTTGCAGCTTTGGCATTGAAGCCTCATCCTCTTCATGTTCGTAGACTGTTCAAAAGATTAGAAGAAATGCATCTTAGCCACACAAGAAAAAATAAGATTCTACTGGAAGTTTTTTCTCTATCTCTCATGTTTCAATTTCAAAAGTCTAATATAAAACACTGAAATTTAGATTATCAACAAAAGAATTCCAATGATTCTGATCTGCAGGAGTAAGTTTAGAAGCAAAGATCAGCTCAGTCTTAACACTACAAGATAATTGGATATGTTTGAACTTATCGAAGCTTGGTATATAAACGAATAGCACAATATTTTCTCATCTCTCCCTCTCTCGTGATACATCTTAAGACATCTCTGTCGTGAACATTAGTAGAAAACAAAGCATGTAATAGTTAAACACGGAACTAATTAATCTAAATTAGGCTACTAATTCAATATAAACAGGAGAAAATCAAGGAGAATCATAAACGAAATATACACAAGATCTCTAATATGATTTCCAGAATCGACAAAAAAGATGATGAAGTCAAAAGCTCACCTATGGGTTTTGTCGCCAGAGGTGATGGTGAATATAATACGGCGGTCTGAATTAGATTGGATTTAAACGATTGGAGTGATCGCGGAATCGTTGTTTCGTTGGAATGTTGTTTTGTTGGTTATGGTGATGAGAATCGACGTTTGAGAGATGAGAAAGGAGAAGAGATCGGCGGAATAGTTGTTACACCGGAGGTGGTAATGAGAAACCTTATTTTCATCAGAGGTGAATTGTTGTTTCAGCCTTCAGGGAAGGTGGCGCTTGAGAGATGAGAAGGGAACTAGGTTAGAAAAGAGATAAGAAATCTGTGGTGTAGGTAATATATGAAATTAATTAAATTTCGTTAAAAAATGGTCAAAAAACGGTGGAAATTTTTTGATCGATTTCCAACCAAAATATCTGTTAGACCAATATTATTTTTTTGTCAGAAAATGATCGTAGAGTTTACGTCCAAATTTTAACGACACCATTCATCAAAAAATTAACTAATTTGTGACCAAATCTATATTTTAGTCAAAAATTGATCATTAAATAATTAGATTTATTTCTATCTATCAGTTAAAAATATATATATATATATATTTCTATCAATATTTTGGTTAGAACATAGTCAGAAAGTTTTGTCCGAATTCTGATGACTATGTTTATCAAATATTATCGACTATTTTTTGATCAAATTCATATAATGGTCAGAATTTGATCAATAAATAATCTTAATTATTTTTATCAATATTTTGGTCAGAAACCAACCTGTTTTGTAGTGTTATTATAAAAACTATTAAATTTTGATACAGTTATTTTGTTACTAATTTGTAGTAATATTGTTACAATTTTGATTTGTAAGTAAGATGTTGCTCTTTAGCTACAAAATCTCACCAAAATGCTACAATGTATATACTTATTTTATCTGTTACTAATTTGTATCAATTTGTTGCAAATTTTGCTACAAATTTTTATGGTGGCAAAAGTTGTAACTATGTCCAACATTTCTTGTAGTGTTTTGAATTAAACACAATCTAAGATGATATATGATATACTATTATTGTAGACTGTAAATAACCGCATGCAAAGAGCACACTGTGAGTTTCCGCTTTAAGATGAATAGTTTTTTAGATATTCTCACACACGCTATAGAAATGTAATGGTCATTATAGTGATGTCATGCCGTGTGATGCAAGTGGCAAAACTTCCTACTATGGCTGTCAATTAACGTGGCGCCTCCAACCTTCATGACACCAAAGCAGAATATACAAAGACAAACTACACTTCAGATTCTGATTTTCTAATAGGTTCGACCAACAAAATTTCGACTTATACCTTATATACAGTCTGCACATAATGTGATATAATCGTCGTGTGTTTTGCGCATATTGTTGATATACAAGCATTCCATTGGACTTGTAGATCTGACAAGAAACGAGAGTCTTTTCTTTTATGCAACACGTATTAAGCTTAATTGAGATGTTATTACCATGTGGCAATGTACGTAATGCACCTTTCTGAACCAAATATTTACTTTTGATCTGCTTATGATAATTTTTTTGTTAAGAAGAGAAATAAGATGGATAGGGCTGTGTTGGGTTATTGTTGTTATTGGGTTTGTTTCTTTTAGTCTGCTTATAATAATGTTTTAGTTAAGAAAAATGAATTCGATTGACCAAAAAAAAGTATGAACTGTTCATGACTCCAATCGAATCACAAACAAAAAGAACAAAAACCGGTAATGGTTGGGCCTGATGGGCAATTAAATCCAAAAAGAACAAAAACTGTTCAGTATCTCGAAAAGCGGAAAATAAACGTAACCTATGTACATATGTCACCCAACAAATCTTTGGGCCTGATGGGCAATAGAATCCAAAAAGAACAAAAACTGTTCAGTATGTTACACATGTAACCAAACAAACCTTTGGGCCTGATGGGCAATTAACATTCGGACTTTTAGTTACGGGCCTAAATCCATATTAGCGAAATCCTGAACCAACACATCGGGAATCTCAGGTGCCGCCGGAGGTTGAGGGGTATTGATAATCGCCAAGAAAAGGATGAGGCCGACGCTAAATCCTATCAAGGGTAATTGTTGCGGGTACTCTTTGACCAAGACGGTGTAGCTGGCTATGAGGAATCCTTGCGAAATGCCGAGATCATCATTGATCTGGTGTACCACCCGAAGCAGCAAGAGGTGCATGAAGAAAAAAAAGCAGCTGAAGAAGGCGGTGGTTCCGACTGTAGCAACACCCTTAACGATGGAAAACCCCCCAATCTCCGAGACGAGCCGCGATCCTCTGCCTTGCCCTCACCACAGCTTCTGGAATCAAGATTAGCCCAAGGAAAATCAGAACAAGGTCTTCGAAATAACTTCCCTCGGCTTCAAGATGCGTCTTGCAGTATCGAGAGAGTACAAAGAAGCCAGAAGATAGAGCAGGGATTGATATCTTGGATAGAAGGCACGAGCATTGGTGATGACGGTGGTTGGAGTTAGCCTCGGAGCTTCGACGTGATCTGCCATGATTGAAAAGCTCGCTGGAAAATAGTAAGAATGGAGAGAGGAAGAAGACGAGAGAGACTGAGAGAGACGAAGAAGAGAAAGACGCGGAAGAGTGGAGGGAAAGAATACAAAAAGACCTTTTGCTCCTTATATGCTGAGGTATCATTAATTCGGGTCGGCCCGTTTGATTAGAGCCTTATTAATTCGGGTCGGGTTTAGATCCTTTTAATTTGCTTTTAGGGTTAGGCGATTCCAGAAACCAAAGAGGTGACTCGAACCAGAATCACTGGTTTTGGGGTTCGCGAATCCAGAAAAAAGAGCAACACCTAAGGTAAGGTAATCTCATGTTCAGGGTTTTGGGTTCTAATTTTGCTATAATGTGATGCGATTTTCCCCGATGTTTTAGAAACTTTGGCATATCTGCTGGATATGGCGAGTGGGCAAGTGGAGAAGCGAGTCAGACTCAAAAGCTCTGTGAAGGATCCAGGAACTCCTGGATTTCTCAGAATAGTAAGATTATTTCAACGTTGCACACAAACAAAAGTTAGTTCGATACTCGATGATTTTTTTTTCATATGTTTCATTTGAATTTTTTGCAGAGGGAAGAGATGTTGCTCTTTGTCCCACATGATCCGAAATCAGATTCAAAGCTTAGAGTGCAGACTCAAAACATCAAAAGTATGTTTTCTATCTATACCAGGTCATAATTGTTGTTCACATTCCTGACTATTTTCTCATGTGTTTAGCGTTTCTTGAATTTTTCCATGGTAATATTTCTCAGGTCAAAAATACACCAAAGAAGGATCAAACAAACCTCCTTGGCTTAATCTGACCAACAAGCAGGTCTCTTGTTGGCCTCTGTGCTGAAAGCTACTAAAATACTATAGATATGTGGATTTTTAAGAGCTTATCCCGTGTTTTTCATGAAGGGAAGGAGTCATATCTTTGAGTTTGAAAACTATTCGGACATGCATGCTTGCCGTGACTTTATCAGTAAGCTCCATGGGCCCAATGGTTTACTTTTACCTTCTGTTGTGTTCTTGCTGTGGTAGTGAAACCATTTTTACTGTGAACAGCTAAGTCCCTTGCTAAATGTGAAGAGCTGCCTAAGAAATCAGCTGTTTCGACATCTTCTGAGCAGCTCAGTATTGCAGAATTGGAGCTACGTTTCAAGCTTCTTCGAGAAAGTAGGTATGTAATGGGAACATTAAGTTACTTTTTGGGATCAAAGTCTCTGCTTTGATAGGCTCATAATATGAGTACCATGCATGCATGATCTGAAGTGAGCTGCAGAGATTGCATAAGCAACTTGTGGAAGGTAAAATCTTGACGGAAGATGAATTCTGGGCTACAAGAAAGGTCGGTGATTTGTGGTGTCCTTGGTTTTTAAGGTCTCTTGTTCGTTTTGAGTGTAGTCGTAGTGACCAACTTGATTCTGATTGATGGCAGAAATTACTCGGTAAAGTTTCCACCGGAAAGTCAAAACAACAGGTCGGGATCAAGAGCATGATGGTTTCTGGCATCAAACCGTCTACTGATGGGCGGGTATGGTATATTTCTCTCTACCCTTTTTCTGGCAGTCATCCTCTTCAGTTTATATGTTCATGTGCTTGCCTTTGTAGGAAACAAACAATGGACCTATATAAGCATACTCTGTTGTGTGCTGTTACATATTATACATTTCATCTGGTTTACTAACCGCCTCCTTCAATTTTTGTTTCCAGACCAATAGGGTGACGTTTAACTTGACATCAGAGATCATTTTTCAGGTTAGCTCTTTGGTTCACTTGGTTCTCCACTGTTTTAAGTTCTCTACAGGGCCATGATAATATTTCGTTGTGCAATTAGTGATTTATTATGTCAGAAATTCTGTTGGTTTAGTGTGCATCATGTGTTTGAACTTAGAATTTCCAATGCTTAACGAAACTACCAGTGAGAAATTTATAACAGCCTTTCAGTTCACCTTCTATTTTGTGCCGACTTAGTCCATAGATTCATTGCAAGAGTACTTGAATGTTGCTTTAGTTATGCTACTGCCATTGTCTCACATATGATTTCTTCATTGCGCTTTCAGATTTTTGCTGAGAAGCCGGCTGTTCGGCAGGCATTCATAAACTATGTTCCGAGTAAGGTAACGAAAACTTTATGACTATGACTGACGGTATGACCATCTTTGTTTATAGGTTTAATCATCAAATACTATGAATCGTAACTGATTTTGGTAATTGTTAACACAGATGACAGAAAAGGACTTTTGGACAAAATATTTTAGAGCAGAATATCTTTACAGCACCAAAAATACAGCAGTAGCTGCTGCGGAAGCTGCTGAAGACGAGCAACTCGCGGTCTTTCTGAAGCCTGATGAGATACTGGCTCGGGAAACACGTCAAAAGGTATTTGTCCTCTATGCATTTTATTTGAGAAGAAAACATTTGTGACATATTTATTTGATCAGAATGTCATGTATGTAGATTAGACGGGTTGATCCAACTCTGGACATGGAGGCTGACCGGGGAGACGACTACACTCATTTAATGGTAAGCCAACTGCATTAGATGTGTTTGAAAACCTTGTATAAGTTGTTAATCAAGAAATGTATTATCTTGCAAATGTTAATTCTGGACTATGCAACTATATTTGAATTATCTGAACCGTTCTTTTTGCCTTCGAAATTTAAACTACTGCGTTATCGATTCAACTAGGACCAGACTGTTATATTAGCTTGTATGAGAACGTGCTTAGTGCTGATATCTTAAATCTGACTCTGTACAATATCTTCATATATTGTGCTTAATTTAAGTAAACTGTGGAACAGGACCATGGGATCCAGCGTGATGGCACTAGTGACGTTGTTGAACCACAGAATGACCAATTCAAGAGATCACTGTTACAAGATCTTAATCGTCATGCAGCTGTTGTATTGGAAGGCAGAAGCATTGGTAAAACACAGCAACTATTATGAATCTTTCATTTGATATTTTGTCTATGTTATAAGAAATAGGTACAACTTACTTTCCAACAGCTAGTTTTTAAAGGTTTAAAATTAAGTACATGTTTTCGATGGAAAACAGATGTTGAGTCAGAGGATACGAGGGTTGTTGCAGAAGCTCTAACACGGGCCAAACAAGGTTTGCTGTTTAGTTTTTCTCGTTGTTTGATCTGTGTTGCCACATTTTATATTCATCTGACTTCACTATCATATTTTACTACCCCTGGTGGTAGTAAGCAAAGCTGATGGTGAAAGCAACAAGGATGCTAATCAGGAGAGATTGGCGAGAATGTCTCGGGCAGCAGAAATGGAGGATCTTCAAGCACCACAAAACTTTCCGTTAGCACCACTTTGTATCAAGGTTTGGCTTTCTGTCATTACAAAGTTTTCAATGTTAATGATGGATGCTTTCTCAGCCTTTCTTGTTTGTTTGGAATCAGGACCCTCGTGATTACTTTGAATCTCAACAAGGAAACGTCCTCAATGAACCTAGAAGAGCTGGGGCATCGAAGAGAAATGTCCATGAAGCTTATGGATTGCTAAAAGAATCCATTTTGGAGATTAGAACTACAGGGTTAAGTTATCCATTGATTAAACCTGAAGTTTCCTTCGAGGTGCTATTCTATCCCATGATAAAAATGTGTGCTGACTAAAAACAAATCATGGCTTATTGCTTTGTTGCCTGAGCTAAAAAAATTGCAAACCCTATTCAGGTTTTCAGTTCGTTAACCCGAACTATCTCAACGGCCAAAAACATCATCGGGAAGAACCCAAAAGAGAGCTTTCTGGACAGATTACCAAAGTCCACCAAGGATGAGGTTCTACATGTAAGTCCCACATTCTCAAATGTCCCAAGCTCAATATATATATAAGGGCTAGTGAATCCCCTCAAATGCATCATACCTTTTGTGTTTTCTTTCATCTACAGCATTGGACATCAATACAGGAATTACTAAGACATTTTTGGTCATGTTACCCAATATCAACAACATATCTTCACACCAAGGTAATGTTGCTGCCGTTTCACAATCTCCTAATCCCAGAATTGGCTATACATTAGCTTTCTTGGGGAAACCTTCAAACATACTTTACACCAAGAGCTAGTTCTTATACTAGGATCGATGTTATGTTTTGTTATGCAGGTTGGTAAACTGAAAGATGCAATGTCCAATACATATTCAGAACTCGATGTAAGCTATGAAAATTCTTCAATCATCTCTGATAATCATTAGCAACAGCAGTTCCTAATCTATCCATACCGATGCATTTACACAAATTCTTGATATTAGAACTGTATTTGAACTCAGGCAATGAAACAGTCAGTGCAATCTGATCTTCGGCATCAGGTTTCGTTATTGGTTCGTCCAATGCAACAGGTTAAGTCTCTTCCATTGTCTAGAATTCTCCACGTGTTTTATCTATCCGGTTTAACCAGCCAAACCAGGCACTGCATTGCAGTCCGGTTAACAGATTGAAATCTGATTGGATCTTAACCCAATTTGTCCGCCAGGCTCTTGATGCTGCGTTTCAACACTACGAAGCGGACATGCAGAGAAGAACCGCTAAGAGCGGTGAAAGACCAAACGGGTGCATTTAGAAGGCAGATAAATTGTTGTTTTGTTTCATCAGTAATTTGATGTTTTGAGATTTTTCATTTGTTGCTTTTTGTCCCATCTATTGAGATGCAAACAAAAAAGCGTTGATGTTGTGCAGACGTTTTGTACTTTGGAAAGATTAAAGAGATTTTTCTTCGACGTAATTCTCGAACTATCCAACTTAGTTTTGTAATTTAGTCTGAAATTGTCTAGAACCTTTTGTAATTCTTTTTTTTGTCACCAACCTTTTGTAATTCATGTGTGTATATTCTTATGTAATCCGTTCAATCAACATACATTCTGACCAAAAAAGAGCATTTCTCTGATGCAATTTTGAGACCATTTGGAAGAGTGGTCTTAAATTGAACCACATGCAACAGAAGAAAATCAGCAATTGCACCATAAACCCATAAGAAAAACGCAAATGAGAATTTTTTTTTTAACGCCAATAATTTATTAAGGAAGAATGGAACAGGGATTGTAGCAAAAACAAAGGGAAGCTGTAACAGTTTCGAACTCTGGTATCGAAAACTAAACGCAAATGAGAATCTAAACAAACAAAGTGATATCCCAATTGAGAGAAGGAAATAAACCCTTTATTACTAAACCCCAAATCGATTTCCTAAATAACAACAAAATTAAAAAAGAAAAGAAAAAAGCATTAAAAAAAAAAGTCAGTCCAACATATTATTAACGAAAAAAAAAGAAAAAAAAGGTACAAATCTGACTCATTAATCAGCCAACAGCCAACAACGGCGATTGCTCCGCCTTCGTCTTCCGTCTTTCGTCTTCGTCCCTTCTTGCCGCTTCTTTTACCATCTTGACAGCTTTGTGTTAATGACGGTTATCGTCTCCTCCAATTAATCGAATTCTTTCTTAGCTTTCAACAGCAATCGACACCATTTTTCTTTCATCTCCTCCTGATATAGGAAAATAAAACTGGAAAGAAAAAAAGTAGATTGACAGACCATTAGAAAAAGTGGACTGACAGTTAGAAAAACTGTTCATATTTATCCATCAATATCTGTAAAAATTTCGAAAAATAAACATACCAACCTATGTGCTCAATTTGTTCAAAAAAAACCCTATATACTCAATATACTCATGCCACTAAAATAAAAGGTTGATTTGATCGCTGAAATTCCAGAGGCAGCGACTAATTTTTCGACTTTCAAAGAGTAGAACATGTACATTGACCTTATGACTTTAGTTCTTGGTGGTAAATATACAATAATGCTTAGTAGCTTGTACTTTTTAATTGGAAAGCAGATGTTAAATCAACAGATTTCTTTTTTTCTTCTAAAAAGTAAAAACAATCTAAATTTTCTTATGATAAAAATGAATTTTAATTCTTAAACCAAAAGTAGGATAAGAGAGGGTTTTTAACCAATAAAATAATGAAAAAATAGAGTGTTCTAAAAAAAAAAATTAGAAAAAAGTTAAGACACAGTTCTTAAATAAAAACGACAAAAAAACGATTCTTAAATGGTTATGTTTACTTGTTAAATTGCAAATGGTTTAATTTTATTTTTAGCAATAAAAAATAATTAATTATTTTGTTTATATTTAAATAAAAATATTTAATGGTTTAGATACTCTTATTGAATATCTAAACGATGGAGATGGTGTAACATTAACAACAAGTAAGACTTGAGATGAGTTCTACGTGGCTTTGCTGAAAATGTGGAATCAACTAAAGTATATTTAGGTCGAGATTTGCAAACCTTAAGCTGCTAAACAAGTCCGAGTGTGAAGATGGGGTGGTAAGCGTGCTTCGGTGTCGCACTTTTTAAGTAAAAATATACAAAGAGTCGTACAACTAAACCTTGATACTTGTTTAGATCTTGTCCATAAACAATTAAAAGACCATTTGATTTGCTGTATCCATTTTCCCCGTGCTTGTAATCTGAGGAATAATTAAGGTGAAAAATGACTGGATTTACACCAAACCACATATCACTGAGATCTCAAATCTTATATTGTTTTTGTGTTCCTTGCCATAGAAATTACTCGAGTAGTTTTGGGTTTGATTGTTTCTTTGTTGATTAATTATTTGGCTCTACATTGTCAGCTTAACTAATAAAAGCTTACGTGCTACTACTGTAAACAAATGGAGTTGGTTGATGAAGTTGAGCACAAAAGACTTTACACAGATTCCCCAAAAACAAAAGCAGCTTTCTTGATGGAGCAAGGAGGATCACTTTTAGCCAAAGCACTGAAGAAGGGCGTGATGATCCAGAGTGATTTTGTCGAGTAAACTCAATCTTTTGTTTCCTTTCGGTCCTCTACCAATACTAGTCCGCTACTTGACAGATAATAAGGTGAGATAGCATTTTCAGTCTTGATTAAGTCTTAAGAAAAACGAAGATAGATCTCTGGTTGTACTGGCTCACGGATGATTCTTCTTGCTGAGCATATTAGGAATTACACACCATTGGCTGAACATCTCGGATATGCCACGGAGTAAGTACGTTGCTCGCTCTCAATAATTGTAATTTAAATCTTAAGCTAACCATCTAATGCTTTTGTAACTGCAGGCAGTTGGCTTGCTACACAGGTCCAACAGGTATGGATTGTTTCTTCTGATACACGCTTCCTTATTTTCTTTCTTTTTCTCCTGATATTGTTTTCTGACGCGCTAGGCAAATTTCACACAGTTGGAGGGCTCCTAAACGCTACATATGGAAACGTGACAGAGCTGATCATATCGATTATCTCTGCTTCTCTACTTGGACTCATCTCTGCAGTTTAATAAACTTGTGATGAACCAGAACGAAGCAACTTCAGCTTCAGACGTTGTTGGTGAAGATCCTGAGATCTCCAAGTATGAAGCTATCTTGTGGATGTCATATAGGTAACTGTTTTTTTTCTCTTCTTCATTGCATTAAAAGCTAACATGACCTGCTGATGAATATCTCATTGTATTACTACACAACGTTCCTGACAAAGAAAAACTAATGAGTAATGATCAAGACAACATTGCAATGCGAGTTTACGAGTTTTGTTTTTCGAACTGTGACAGGCTGCTTCGGTCTCGTTTAGCAGTGTCATATTGCTTCCTATAGTTGGGAACGCGGCCGAGCATGCATGTGCCATTATGCTTGCCATGAAAGTCAAGCTGGTAAGCAGACAAGTCTCTTGCCTTCTCATGTCTTTGGTTTCCCTTCTCTATGTCTAAATTTATTGTTTTCTCTCTATCTTTGGGAGTGGCTATTGGATCCTCAATCCAGATTTCCATGTTTGCGGTACGTTTAAGAACTGTGTAACTTGTGTCTAGTACTAAAGCTTCTCTTACAGATTTGGTATGATAGTTTCCACTTTTGCCTTTAGGTTCCTTTCTGTGTGGTGATGGGATGGATGATGGGTGAACAAATAGACCTTAATTTCCAACTATTTGAGACGGCTACACTTTTCATAACTGCTATAGTTGTAGCTTTCTTTCGCCAGGTAGGTGTTCATAATCTTGAGGCTAAAAAAAAATGAAACCAAATCTTGAAGTTAATTATGTCTCTGTGTTATGCAGGAAGGGACATCGAATTACTTCAAAGGATTGATGCTCATTCTATGCTATCTGATAGCCGCTGCCAGTTTCTTTGTACACGAAGATCCTCATTAAGCTTAGTGTTGGATTTGTTATTATCATCTTCACATTTAATGTTGTTGATTAGTGCTGGAAATGTCTATGAATATGGTTTCTGTGTTCTTGTTTCTTGACAGATGATATATAGACAAACCCGAAGGGCACACTCTGGTGTGTGTGAAGCAGTTACATATATGTGTGTACACTCAAGATTCTGGAGTTAATTTTGTATTAGAGTAACAGAAAGTTGTCCCATTACAAATTTTGTGAAATTAGTGTGATCAAACCTGTGAGATTAATTGGTTTCTGACGGATATCAAGCCCATAACAAAATCTCTCATACAACGGCCATGTCTAGCCTTGTAAGCCCATAACAAAATCTCTAGTATAACCCCCTTTGTTTATTTATATTCCTTACCATTCTATTGGTTGATACACATTCACCATTTCAATGAAACGTTAAAAACATAATGAAACCAAAAAAGTTGTGTGTAATTTTGCAAAAAGAAGGATGGGCAAGAAAGAGATATGAACGTGGTTTTTGCGACGAAGCAAAACGACGAGAAGTTACACTCGTCGTTTGCAAAATGAGGGGCATGAGCTGTATCGTGTCGTTCTTTTTCCAAAACCCCCCAATATTATACGACGTGGGGCCCATATAATAGAGCCATATAGGCAGAAGGAACTAAAACCACACGTCGTTTTTGAGACTCTGCTCTTTTCCTTTTGATAAAATATCTTCTGGTCCAACAGTCAAAAATGAAGAAACTATAGTACCATTCAGTTGCTTAACATAACCTAAAGTTAAACAGTAAATTTTTACATTCTTTTTCACTTTGTGGGGCCAGCTTGTTTGAGCCCAATTGTCTATCAAATCAATAGGGGTCCATCTCTTGTCTGGATAACAGTTAAATACGCTTTTTAACAGTATTACATACCAAACAATGTATACTCCACTGTACGGATTGATTTAAATACTTTAATTCAATCAGTTTGACTTGTGTGCTAGTCCATAATCCTCATAAATATATGTGTTTAAAATAATTTTCAAAGTGCTACATTATTAATCGTGAACAAACACACGAGACTGTACACGTGTATGTTGGTTATTGGTGAATGGTGACCATATACTTTATTTAAAAACTTAAAATGTTCATCGTCATCGATTTTAGCGACAAAACAATTCACGGGGAGAGCAGAACGGAACAGTGCAAAACTTCAAAAGGTGAAAAGGAAAATAAGGCAAAGAGTTGACTCCATGGATTAAAGAGACTGTGTCAGGCTTGTTCTCAAAGCGATCCAAAACCCAAACATCTACTTGTTGATTATTCTAATGATTCTGATTACTTACTATAGAAAATTAATTCTCCGTTTTTATATTCTATTTTTTTTTAAATTAACCAACTACCACATCTTGAGCTC